AAGCCCCCTTTCAGCTTTGCCGACTTGATGTGAGGTTGTCTCTTTGCCGTAAGGTTGCAGGACGTTGCAGGGCATCGATTTGGAGGTTGGTTGGCCCTTCGGGTTTCGTGAAGGTGCGCGTTCCCCTGAATCATTTCGATTAATCGAACTTCGTTAACTTTGCTTTAATGCTTGGGGCCAGGCTCAAGAATGCTGCAGCGCGCGTAAGGTGCAGGGACGATTCGTGCCCAGATGTGGCAACCCTCGCCTGCATCTTCCGGAAAGTGCGATCCATTGTAAAATCAACCAGCTTGGCCTCACGTTGGTCCCGAAATTGCAACACTCTCGGTGTTGCGCGCGGATGGATGGGTTCGGAGGATGGATGGATACATGAGACTCGCTGCTCTAAGCGCTTTCGGGACACTCTGTCTTTGTTTGTTTTCTCGTCTCTTGATGCTCTCCCTGTCTCTCTGTCTTCCTTTGTCTGTGCTTCCGAGTTTGTTGTGGGTCTCTCTCCTTCGAGTTGCGCTCCCATAGGGCCATAGGGCGAACAAAGCACGGACAAAGTGAGACAGAGGTTGCGTGCGAACGGAGATGTCTTGGGAGAGTTTTCGGGACAGCGAGAGCTGCACCCTCGGTCAATGCCACTGTCAGGCAGAGAAGCGTGGAGTGAAGTTGGAGAGCTCCGCCGACACCCGAACAACCGTACCCTTGAGTCTGGGTTTGCGGCTGGCCTCGCGCACCCTGCTCGCTCCGAGGCTGGCTCGCCGTGGAAGAGCGAGTCTGCTGGGTATCCTGGCAATGTTCGAGGCAAGTGCTTTCCATGGCGAGCATTGGTGTTTTCCGCCAGTGGCTGCGAAGGCATGCTTTCCGGAGCTTTCAAAAGTCTTCGCCAGCGTGCACAACAAGCCCAGCAGGCCTGCAGATCCTGTGTGTGTGTGTGTGCGCGTGTTTTCGCGGTATGCCTAGGTTCGGCTAGAAGCTTTGCCCACTTCAGCATGACTTGTCAGGGCATTGCGCAGCAGATCCAGCCGAAAAGCCCAGATGCCACGTAAACTTGCTGCCAAAAAGCCGCCTTGGCTTGGTGCTTCTGCCAGGAATGTACTGTTCCCAGTTGACCTCACAAAAAACTCAACTCTGTGTCCTCGTCTAAGCGTTGGGCCGAAGCAAAACAAGCAGCGTTTCCGCGGAGCTTTCGGTTGCGTGTAGTTTTCAGATCAGACCAGCAATGGGGAAGCCAAGTGAGCGAAAAAGACTTGATGTGATGTTGGTTTAAATGGAGAGAGGTGGCCAGAAAGTTAGGTGGAAAGCAGCGGCGCACAGAATGCTGGGTTTAGTCCCTTGACACGCAGCCATGGGGGTCAGCTGTTCGTGCTTCGAGCAATTTTGGTATCCTGGGCCGAGTGAGAGGAAAATCAAAGCAAACTCCAGCTCGAGCTCAGAATCAGAGGTGCTGGTCGTTGGTGCTGGGCTGGCAGGCTTGGCTTGTGCTCTGCGGCTGCAGGACTACGGCGTCCGGGTGCGTGTGCTAGAGGCACGTGGCCTTGTCGGCGGCAGGGCATCGCGCGGCGGTGCCGATTGGGTGCATGGACAGCATGTCACAACTTGGAAATATCTCAAGCGGTTCAATATGCAAACGGACGGCTCAGCCAACGGTTGGGCAACGAATGTCCCAGGTGGACCCGAGTGCTGGGTTTATGTTGACGGAAAACTTCGTGGGCCCGACCAGGTACACACCGAACCGAACAGACTATTCTTTGATAAATTTGCGGATGCAGTAGAGGAGTGGATTGAAGCCGGGCGCGAGGATGTCAGCATGCAGGCGCTTGCAGATCGTGTCTTCGAACATCCCCCAACAGATGATGAGCGGAGGCTCATGGAAGGGATGATGGCCGAATGGCATGCAGCAGACCTCGCTGACGTGGGTGTCTATGAGGATGACCTGTACAGCGATCGCATCAAGGCACTGGCGAAAGCACGACCCAGCCTTCTGGACGAGGATGGAGATGAGGAGCACTGGAAGATCGTGGGTGGGCATCAGGGCTTGGCGGAAAAGATGGCAAAAGACTTAGACTTGAGTTTATCGACGGTCGTTCGCAAGGTGGAGTGGGCTGGAAAGAGGGTGTGCGTGGAGTGTCAGGGCTCAGAGGCTTCTTTTGCAGCACGTGCCGCTGTGATCACCGTGCCGCTGGCATGTATTCCAGACATCACCTTCGATCCCCAGCTGCCCGAGGGCAAGAGGCTGGCGGTAGAGCGGCTTGGCCGAGGGGTAACTACGACGGTCTATTTGAACTTCAAAGAAAGCTTCTGGCCCGACCGTATGGCTTTTCTCTTCCATTCTATGTCTTCTCAGGTGTTTTGGCCTGGACGGAACAAAAGAGTCCTCACGGCTTACTTCGGAGGACGGACAGCTAACGAACATCTCCTCGGCATGAGTGATGCAGAGATGACCGGAGAAATCCTGCGCCAGCTCAGTGTGATCTTCGACAAGCCCATGTTGGAGCTGAATGCTCTGTTCCTGAAGAGCGAAGTCCACCGATGGGACAACGATCCCTTTGCAAAGATGGCCTACTCGTACTGCCCGGTCGGCACTGCACACCTCCGAAGTGCCTTGGGGGATGCTTGCGGAAATCTTTTCTGGGCCGGGGAAGCCACCCACCCCACCAAGGGCAGCTTTGCACATGGCGCGCTGGAAGAAGGCGAGCTCGCAGCGGAGGAGGTCTTGGCGCACCTCGGGATCCAGGTTTGACGAACCCCGCAGGAACGCCCAGCTTCCAACTTAAAAAAGGCACGTCCTCTACAGATCCTTGCTGCTTTAGCATTAGGCAGCAGTTCTTGAGTGAACACATCCAATGCTGTCGTCGTTCCTTCCGTCGGAGCTTCGAGCGTAGACGAGGCTGGGGAGCGGCCTGTAGATGCTAGATAGCTGCTAGATTCTTAGATGCTCGTTTGAGATTTCGGGGCGCGGTGCGACCCAGGCCCAAGTGCGCGAGCGAGAGTCGAATGTTACCCTTGCCCGTGTCTTCCGCCAACCGAAGGCCCGCACCATGCCCGAGGTTGGTAGCACGAGCCCCAGAGTCCGAGATTACATGTGATATAATGTGACATCACATCACGGCTCATCAGACAAGACTAGAATCCGGAGGCCAGTTGCATGGGCACGTCTTCCGGGTTCTCTCCAGAAAGAGCCCTTTTGCGGATCCGGACGCCTTCGAGCCCGGGGCTGGAAGCCAAGGAGTGGAAGCCGCAAGCAAGATGCCACTGGTTTATTCAAGAGTAAGAAAACACACACCGAGTTGCTGTTTATTGTAGTCTGCACATATGGACATATAGATACATATGTATAGAAAAAGGGTCATGTAACAATTCATGTATGTATGTATGTCTGTCTGTATATATGTATACAGACATACACAGATGGACAACACACCTACACACAGATTACAAGACCGTCTAGATCGTCCAAGGCAAGTTTCATGCGTTCGTGTTCATGTGGCAGTTGTACCCTAGAACACTCCCCTAAACCCTAAACCCTAAACCCTTGGTGCCAGCCCTTGGCCAATGTGCTGTCGTCGTTGTACTCGGAACCTCGCCAGGCTTGTCCCAGTTGTGAGTGCTGAAACCCTTGAGGCGGAGACCATCAGCTACCTCAGAGAGAGCCGACTCCTTGGCCGAACCACCTCGCAGCGGACGTTGCGTGTTTCTAAAGCCATTTGCTTGGGAGCAGACCAGAGGCTGCAAAGTCCTAGTTATTGGAGCCGGCGGGCTTGGATGCGAAATCCTCAAGGAGACAAAGACCCTGGGATTCCTCAGTCCTTTTGAGGGCAAGCACCGACAGGACCTGGCCCTGTCAGGTTTCCCTGACATCCATGCCGCCGCCTCGCGAACAGTTTCGATGAACGGGCTTTGAGCTGTATGCCCCTGCGCAGGTCATAGATATGGACACGATTGATGCCAGCGACCGAGCATCGAAGCAGCAAGAACCTCAAGGAGCAAAGCGCGCACTTGCCATATGGAGGTGACCAATCTGAACAGACAGTTTCTTTTTCGTCAGGCCTATCTGCGAGTGTGTGCACCCGCCCAGAGGTTAGAGTACATGCCACGGGGCCACAGGCGGATGTGGGCAAGCCGAAAGCTGAAGTCGCAGCAGCCTTCATCAACCGACGACTGGGGCACATCGGGACGAAGGCAGCGGCCCACCAGGTTGAGAGTTCCGTCCGGAGGGCCTTCCTGGAAGGTCACACCGCACGTCGGGAAAATCCAGGATTTTGACGAGACCTTCTACAGGAAGCCAGCCCCGCAGTCTTTCGAACCGAAGAGCATGAGGCTTCAGGGTTCGAGGCTTGGTGGCTCCAGCATGCAAGCACGAGGTTTAACCTGCTCATCGCCGGGCTGGATAACATCGCGGCTAGACGGTCGCAGCATCGATTGCCTTATTGTCTTTGTGAGTTTCTTTCAGAGCCTAAAGAAGACAGGTGGATGAATGCGACTCTGCATGACATGATCGACCGCACCTCCGGCGAGCCGGGCCTCCTGGGCCTAGCAATCCATCGTAGTTCCCCGCCATTTAAAGGACGACTTCTGCCCGAGCTCAGGCCAGACCCCAGCACCATCATTCCTCTTATTGCCGCCGGCCTCAGACGTTAAAAAGTGTGAACTTTCTGTGTCTTGACTGCGCCTCGTTTGCGAGGATGGTGGCACAGAGGGCTTCAAGGGTCAGGACTCTCGACTGATCAGAGCCACAGCTCTTCGTCTTCGCCATTTGCCCCATTTTGCCCCTCCCCGTGTGGGACAGGCTCGAGTCATCATTCCCTCGATGACGCTCACAGCTCGGAGATGAGGGCGAGGGTTCCTTCCGTAAGTACAAGACGGCCACTCCGCGGCAGGTCCTGCTTCGACTGCTCTCTGGATGCATTTCCTCCACAGGCCGGGTTCAACAGCAAACGCGACGACGTCTAGGTCGTAGTTAGCCTAATAATTATAGCTTTGAAAGCATGCTTTTTAACCGTGCTCTTTAGGTGAACTACCCGCTCTGCACCATCGCCGAGACGCCACTCTGCTTTCTTTGGATGGGTGGTTAGATCATGACTTAGATACATCCGGGAGGCATTGTCGCGAGTCACACGAGTCACGAGGCCTCGACTGCCGGAGCATTGCATCGAGTATGCGCTGGTGGTCATGTGGGAGACCTCTGCCGTCCCCATCATCTCTCGCACTAGTGCCGCATAGTGTGCCGCGTGCGGCTCCTATCCATTTTTCACAGGAGCAGCGCTTCCCGGGGCAGAAGATGAACGCGGACTCTGTTGCTGACATGCAATGGATCTACGAGACAGCCAAGGCATGGCGCGTTCCATGTGTCATTGGCAGTGGTCGACACAATAAGTGCGGCGGCAAATTGAGGATCGAGCTGAAACGTTCGGCATTCAGGCTGGGAAGGGTCCACGCCTGTCCCCTTACAGTACAGTAGCACTGCGATGGTAACATCATTGTCTGTGGTTCTTTGAAGCAGGGAGTCACCTACCAACTGACGATGGGTGTGGTGAAGCGAATCATTCCGGCAATTGCGTGCTAGCCACAGATGGAATCTGTGATGTCGCCTGTGGATTTGTTTGCAGCTCCAGGTCAACCAACGCACTCATCTCTGCGGCTCTTGTTGCGGAGGCATTGAAGGCTGGATACCAAATGCTCGGCCGTGCTGTTTCTTATCAGTTCTTCACAGATATGGTAGGTGTCAACCTATTGCGGCCCTGTCCTGAACAACTACATGATGTATATGGGGCAGTGGCCTGCCTCGGATCTTCGGCCCAGGCCAATATAATACGTGTTCAGAGCTTGGGCCGAATCCGAGGACGGGCGTGTACACTCATACCTTTCCATACGAGAAGAAGGACGATTGAAGCGGACTTGGTCTCTCAACGGGTCCCACTTGAGCTCACTATGCTGCGGACCCCGAGTCACCCTGAGGCATGGTTTGCGGAGGTGGGACACTCACCTTGACGAGGCCTCGAACCTCGACACTGCAGGTCGGAGCCGCGGAGAACCCCTCTCCCCCTCTTTCAGTTGCTCAGCTTGTGCCAGGAGTTGCTGGACCACCTCGGGGCGAGTCCAAGCTACCAGCTGTCCAGGCAAAGGGAGTGCACCTCTGGGTGTTGGAGATGTTGCAGTGTCAGAGAGGCCGTCGGTGTCGAGCCAAAGCCTCAGCAATAGCATGGCATGCAAAAGCATATTCACCACGTGCCAGCATGCCGCCTATCTGAAGCGCATCCTGCAGATCAGGCACATGCCAAAGGTGTGGATTGCCGGGATTGCTGTTTTGGATCAGGAGATGACTTCCAGTGGCAGCTGTCCTTCGCAGCCGAGCCCGAGCCCGTCATGCGATCCTTTGGGCGGCGTGGTTGAACTGAGCGGCCGCTGCCCCGATGCTCTCCGGAAGTTGGCTCTCTCCCAGCTTCAGCCGGGGCCAGCGCAGCCTTCCATCGGAAGAAGGCGAAGTCCAGGGCCTAGAAAGATGGGAATGACTCGCCGTGAAAGCCGGAGTGGCTCCTTCGACCCTACTCTGTCAAGCTTGACGGAGCTCCCTTTCTTCGAGAGCGAGGTGGATAAAGCTGAGGAGGATTCCTTGGAGAATCTGGTTCAGCAGCTGCAAGCCGCAACCGAGGCTTTCAGTGACGGACGCAAAGAGCTGAGCTGTTGGCTTCGCAGGCGGAAGCATTTGGAGGCACATCTCCAAGCAGCCACGGAGGCTTCCCACGCCTCGGCCAGAGCAGTGGAGGAAGCGGTCGAAGAGGCCAAGCGTTGGCAACGCCTGACTCTCCCGAAGTTCCTTGCTGTCGCTGGCAAGGGCAACGGCGAGGGCATCAACCAGATGGCTCACGGGCAGCCACCGGATGGATTGGAGCACAGCAGCACCAGAGCTGCACAAGAGCTACGCCAAAAGTGCGAGCAGCAAGCTGCGGAGCTTCGTCACCTAGAAAGAAAGTGCGCTGAGCTACAGCAGGAGGCCGGACAGGCCGCAGGAACCGCAGCCCTTGAGTCTTTGCAAAGGCAAATCCTCAGGGAGCGCGTGGCTCATGAAGATCAACTTAGGGCTCTAAGAGCACGCCGGGCTGAATTGCTCAGAAGTCTCGGCGATACACATCAATGCGAAAAATCTTCAGGCTCTGGACAATAGACGATGCTTGCACATGCTGAGGCGCTACCATGTCCCATGCCAGAGCCAGCCAATTGCATTCCGCAGGCACTAGTGGCATCGTCTTCATGCAGAACCCTAAGCCCATTCGCCAGCAGCATGAGCACGGTCCTTAGCCGGGTAGGTGAATACACAGATTCCAGAATCGTGATGCCCATGATGGCCAAGGTACAAGCTCAAGATGACGCTGGAAGAACTGACAAAGGCAGATCCGCCGACTCCCCAGCTGCCAACGGTCCACGCCATCTGAGAATTCAAAAACCTGTCCACCAAAGTGCTAAAGGGACTCTCGCACTGCCTGGAACTGTGGATGCTGCTTTCCAAGGCCAGTGTTCGCACAAGGCGAAGACCTCACCGTGTTCAGCTGAGAATCCGTTTCCGAAGAGACTCTTGGGTGCCTACTTGTCGAGTGGAATAAGCCGAGCGAGGTCACTGATCCAATGTTGCCTACGAAGCTAACTCTGCGAGATGCGGGCTCAGCATCACTAAATTTGACCAAGATTCTCCGCTGGTTTTAGTGCATGCACATACCAAGGTGTTCCTTTCTGGCGACTGATGTGGCAGAAGAGTCTCGCGGACAGAAATGAAATGTCCCAACGACGCTCAGCTTGCGAAGAGCTCTTGCTTCCGTATCAAGCTTGTGGTATCTTGCGGCCACGAGGCGGAACATGTCCGGTAGACTTCTTGCTTCCGCCTTCCATGCCCATGCCCTGGAGTGCTTTTCTTTTCAAGCAAACAGGCCTTGACTAGTAGCGTCACTCGGAGCCTCCATGGAGTCTTCCAGTCCTTAGTAAACACGGGGGAGCCCTTGAGATGCCATGGAAGGGGAGCTGCCGGCAGTTGGGCGGCGGAAGTCGCACAAGGAGGCGTGCCCGGTTTCCACCTCATGGGGTTTCCATAGCTGAGGGGGGAACTGCCTGAAGCCGAGAAGGCGTGGGAAAATGCATGAGACTGGGACAAGGGCCAAATTCTCATACAGCATTGTTTGGCGTCAGCATGGGTAAAATGTGAGGAATGATGCAAAGATACATAATTTTAATCAGTTTCATGATTTTGAAAGCTGGTGATGCTTCAACAAGTATGTCTATCGAACCTACATGTCCATGTCGGACGTTGCCTGCGTTCGATGTGTAACACGCAGCAATTTCGGGGCAGCCCGGAGTACCATGGGATCCCCAATCATACCCGCATCAATGTTGAGGGAGCGAAATTTGAGTTCCTCGAATGAAAGGTGAAGGTCCGGCTGGCTAACCCAATCGGCTCAGGTTTGTCCCCAGCAAAAACGCAGAAAGCATCTTGCAGAACCATTGATCAGAACCAAGAGCGAGTGCTTGCTGTGCGCAGTGAAGGCTCCGGCTCCAGGAGGTTTTCAAAGAGAAGTTGGTACAGTTAATGCAGTGACCGTATCGCATATTGTGTAGGACAAAGGGGTAGTTTTCAGAGCCTATCGTGCCATCGGCGCGGCCGGTCGTGAACTCTGTGTGGCGAGTTGGGAAGCCAGGTTGGGAATCAGCAGGCACACAGCATGAGCCTGTCGCCAGAGCTCACAGCGCATAACCGCTTGCAATAAAAGCGAGCGCTTGCTGATGGTGGTACGCGACGACCTGATCAAAAGTGTGCAAGCGGGACAGGCCGCAGTGGCTTAATTATGCACACGAAGCGTGGATGCAGCTGGAGCGGTTGGGTGCGGACGTGATGTCCATCGGGAGGTTAGTCGGCTTCGTTGACAGGGACAAGATGCACAAGGCTTTCAAGGACTCCAAGCTGCTGATGCGCGACAGAGTGGTGTGGCAAGCTATGGGTCGTTTCCGCACGATGCTGGACACGCAGGTCATCATGGACTACCTGGCGGTCATCGTCAACAGCGACAACACACGGCTGAGCCAACTACGGAATGCCTACTACAAGGTGCGTGGCGGGATTCGGGGTCTCTTGATTCTAGGACAGGAGGACAGCTCAATTTCGTGTGGACCTGGTGCCCAATTCCTGAACCGACACCCGTGCTTCAGTGATTCATGTAGAACAGGTGTGGAGAATCGACGCGCTACCAACATCGATACACCTCTGACATGTCAGCACTCGGTTTTGTAAGCGCTGCCCGCGCTGAGGTACAATCCGATGTCCTTGCTGAGCTGATGGCGAACTACTATAGCTGGGAGAAGTTCGCCAGGAATGTATGCGGCAATATTGAAGATGACGACAAGCAGCTCGTCCTCATGAGCCTAGGCCGTCTGGTGGATCTCAGCGAGCAGAATTTCTACCCGAGCTTGATGGAAGTGCCCTGCATGGTGAACGATGCTCTTTCGAAGACACGGTCAGAATCCCAAGCGCAGTTGCCAGGCGGCACGACCCCCAACATTCCAAAGATGACATCTGATGCCACGGCCCTCCAGGCGTCCTTAACCGAACTTGGACGTGTTCTTGCCTACTCCGACTTCGTGGACCCAGTGTATGAGGCCCTGAAGCTGAGCAACAAAGCCAGCCTCGTGGCCATCCAGCACTCAGTTGCGGCCTACGCGCGTTTGCGCAACGACGTCGAGGGAAGTGGGGTGCTTTCGTGTGATGACGGGACTCGGAAGTTCCGCAAGCTCGATTCCCTCCTTCAAGAAGAGGTCTTGTGTACCTGCTATGCGTTCCTGGGCAGGGACGGTGTCGCAGACTTTGGGATGGTTGACCAGGTCATTCGTGACCAATGCGAGTCGAAGAAAGACATGCCGATGCTGAGCATTGAGGCCTTTCTCACCAAACTGCACACGACACATTCGCATTTGCAGAAGGCAGTCCTCACAGAGTTGACATGCTCAGAAAATGTTTGGAAACGTACCCTGACCAGGATCGCCCAGCTTCTGCGCAAACCGAATAGTTGATTTGTTCTGAAACACAGCCCATTTCAGCCTCCATGATGTTTGACAAGTTTTTGCACGGCATTCGTTTCGCTGAAGCACTGGGCCATGCGCACGAGTCGCTGTACTAAAGCGCAGATTAGTCCGCAAGTCAGTTGTGCACTGTCTTGCGGGCCATGTGACCACCAGGAGATTCCAGCTCGAAACGTGAAATGATCTTGTCCTGCATCGCATCTGACGCTTCTGAAGTTGCAGAAATGGACCTGGACATGCATGAGCTTTGCTTGAAATGCATCTGGAGGAGCGGCTCGAACGACTGTCGAGCCCAAGCGAAGAAGCCGAGGAGCATGAGGACTTCAAGGCAGACATCAGCACATCAAATCTTTTCGGGATACTCCATCCAAGTGGATTCAGGATCTTGCGACGCACCCTGCAGGGTCGCTTCAGGGTTTCCTTCTCTTCCAGCACTCGCTCCGTAGGTCTACAGCTCCTACTTTGCAGACCGGACGCATCCTCCGACTGCTTCTGGCGAGGTCCCATGTTGCAGTGGGTAATGACGGGCGAAGAGAGAGCAGAGAGGTGCGGAGAACATCTTTTAACTGCCTGCTGCGGCCAGGAAATCAAACTCCAGAGCCTCGCCGGCGAGCAGGAGGGTGGCTCGAAGCCACGTCTTGCGGGTCGCCAGGACCTTCCAGCTGGCATCATGTACCTGAGTTCGTGGGTGAGGGACACACCACTGCGGAGAAATGTGCTCAATGGGTTTGGGCGAGGCAGCGTGAGAATCAGTCGCTTGGGCCGCCCTAGCCATTACAGCTCAAGGCCACAAGGGCCAGGAGCCAGGAGATGTATTACCAAAGCCGTAAAGCACAAGCCTACGTCCAACCAAATAGGACCGAAGAACTATAGCTTCAGCTGTATCATGTTAGGGGTATCGACCATCAGCATCTTCTGCCAATGCTTCCAACCTGCAGAGCTCTTTACGTCGTCAGCGCGCAGCCCTGATGAAAACCAGATTCAACTCGAGTTCCAAGGACTCGCCTTCGTGAACCTTCGTGGCTTCGGTCATCCGAAAGACAAAATGAAAGCTTTGCAGGTTTGTTCCTTGGGGAGGAGGCCAAGTAGAAGGCACCTCGAGGGCCCCAATCGATACCGCTGAAGCATTCGGCAACCCTAGCAGTGGCCACAGTCATTCGGTGCATGAGCAGTTAACGGCCTGTAATCTAAATACAGCAGCACGTGCCGAATGCTCACAGAACAGAAGGTCCACAGCAGCTCGCCCGGGATATTTGGACACCATGGTTTTCCAGCTTGGATCCATCAGCCGCGGTGTTCTTTCACTGGCATTTGTATGCAGGAGAGGAAGACATCTACTGCGTCATCCGCAGCCCGGAATCTTGCGAAAACTGAAGAGTCACCAGGCAAGGCTTCTTGGAAATTATCGCGTCGATTCCGGATGTTGTCATGCATTGCCTGTTCTTATCCGCTTTGATCAGGTGACCCTGTGACGGACCCTGGCACGTCGCAGCAGTCAGTGCACCCAGTTGCGCTCGATATCGTAAGCGATCATTGCCGCATAGCCACAGTCACAGCATAAGCTCAAAAGCAACTCTCAGTAGCCTGCTGGCTCTCATGGATGCAGAGCTTCCACGTGCTCCTCAGGAAGGAGGGCCCGCAAGAACGCAAGAAGCAGAAGAAGAAGGAGAAGAAGGCAGACTTCTCGTCCAGCTTGTTCGGAGCTGATGAGAAAGACCTGAGCCTGTTCGGAGATGCCAAAGACTTTACAGAGGAGAGGGGCGATTGTCAAGCTGCGCAAGCCGACCGAGAGCACAGATACAAATGTGGGCGCACCGTCTAGTGGCAGAGCAGACACTTCAGCAGGTACTGTATAGCTAAAGTTGGGAGCAGCTTCGGACTCGTGCGCTCGATGGGAGGGAAGTAGAGTTGGCCGATGCTGCAGGAGCACAGCCCACTTCTGGAGGAGCAGATTCCGGCTGCATCGTCCGAAGCTCCTCTCCCACCTGGCTCGACCGAAAAGGAGAGTTCCGAGGGCTTCTCCAAGAACGACGCCGACGCATCGCCAATCGAAGTCAGCTTCTATGCCGGCAGAGCCAAGTCCGCTTTGCAGGATGCTTTGGTGCCCTGTCTGGTTTGTTCGACATGCGCCAACTCGAACGGTAAGCTCAAGGCATTGAAAAGGGTCTTCAGATAGACGAGCACGAAGAGAGCAATTTTAGGTTAAGAGTTCGTGTGAGGCCGCAGATGCCAACCTACCCTGGCGGCGGGGACGGCTTGTTCTACTGGGTCAGGGCCGAGCCGGAAAGTCCTCCACCGTTCGGTCCTTGGTGGGCAAACCGTTCGATGACGCCCAGGCGTCAACGATCGGAGTGGAGACTGCGAGTTGCGAGATCCAGCGCGGCGACGCAGTGGGCTGGCTCATGAAGGGCGCAACCTCAGAAACGGAGAGCCTGGTGAAGCAGCTGCTGGCCGATGCGAAGGACGCAGCCAAAAAACAAGGCCCTGAAGCAGCTGACCCGGCTGGCCACAGCCCGAGCAGCTCGCCTGTGGCGGAAGTCGGCGCGGCCGACGATCAGGGCTCTGGCGCCGCAGAGACGCCCGCTCCACAAGACAATCTGCTCAACAAGTTGCCGGTGGAGGAGGTTGCGCAGAAGCTAGATCAGGAGACGGCCGTAGCAGTATAGCATAAGTTTGTTCCAGATGCAGGCTTAGAGTCAGATGTTTTCTGTGCAAATGTGTTTGCTCACTCATGATACAATGGTCCACTATCGCGAGGAGAGTGAATTGAGCCGTCACTCAGTTAGTCGAACAGGCAGTCAACCGAAGCTACGGAGCCCTTCCAAAAACGCCTGCCATTCGGATCCTTCGGGGCCAGGAGATGGTAATGTTCCGCAAGTCCGTGGGTCAGCCTGTGACGTTCTCGACCTGGGATTTTGGTGGCCAGTCAGTTTTTCACAACTTGCATCACTTGTTCCTCTCACGCTGCAGCGTCTACCTCGTGGTGTTCAAGATGCCACACATGTTGCGTTCCGACGAGTCCTGTGAGCGTGCGATCGCGATGTTGCGGTACTGGCTCAACTCCTTGGCGATGCATGCGCGTGGGGCACCGGTGTTGCTCGTCGGCACCCACAAGGATGATGTGCCACAGAGCAGCGACCATAGGAAGATCAGCAAGATACTCTGGGAGAAGCTCGAGAACCGCTTGGTGGATCAGGTGCATCCGTTCACAAGAGAGGAGGACGAGGGTCTCTGGTACTTCCCGATTGACAACACACGAAGTGGCCGCGGGGCAGATCCGGTGGTGCAAGAGCTTCAGCATGCCATTGAGAGCGCTGCCCACGAAGATACAGCGAACTACCTGGAGAAGCCCATCCCCATCAGGTGGCGGGGCGTTCTCGACGTTCTCTTAGCCAAGAATGAGTCGATCATCACCATGGAGGAGCTGAGATCTTCTGGCACCCCTTCGAAACCCCTAAAGCCTCCATGTACTCCTTAACTATATTACCGATTCCTCTCCCGTTACCCGTTCTCCCTATACCCTTTAAGTACCCCAGAGCCGTGGAGGAGCTGAGATCCGTCGCCAAGGCCGAGGCCCTGCCGGGCTGGCAGCTGCTTCCAATGCTCGAGGTCTTCCACGAGCCTAGCAGCAATAGTAATAGCAATAATAGTAATGATACCAGTGATAGTAAGAGTAGTAAGAACAGTATATAATAGAAATGGTAGTAGTACTAGTAATAGTATCGGCAAAATGAACTTGTGGCCTTGCACTTCTGTTGGCAGGGCTGGGCCGGTAGTGTCTAAGTAAGTGTCTTGGTATCCCGTACGTGAGAGTCTGAGCCCTGAGCCTATTCGTGGCCATGTCTGCTCCATGCTTGCGATTCTTGCACGAAGGAGCTGGGAGTCCTCTTTCATTTCCAATCTCCGATGGAACTCCGGGACATTGTCATTCTTCAGCCGCAGTGGCTTGTGAGCGGCATCTGCCAGGTCATTTTCGACTGGACCCTGCATGAGCAAGAGCACCATAAGCAGATCAAGCTCGAAATGAAGTCTGCATATGACGCATGGCGGTACAAGGGTGTCGTCTCAAGGCGGCTGCTGGATCGGCTTTGGGAGCATGGTTACGAGCAACCTACCCACAAGTCCTTCCTCCTCCGGTTTATGGAGCAGGTGGCACTGGCGTGTGAGGTTGGGCCAGATACTTTCTTGGTCCCAAGCCTGCTTCCACACGGAGACGCCACTGGATCTAAGTCCGGCGTGGCACACAGGCATTTCTGGCTTGACTTTGCTCCCTCCTTCCTCCCAGACAACCTCTTCAAGCGACTGATCTGCTACGCGGTGCAGAAGTGCAGCAGCCAAAGCGAGCCTGTACTTCACGAGTCCTTTGCCCACATGACCTTCGAGGGCCATGACTTCGGGATCGAAGCGCACCTAGACCACGATCTCATCAAGGTCGACATCTTCTCAGCTGCAGAAGCCGGGCTCCTGGCGCTTGAAGGGTTCTAGGAAGCAGGCATGATCAAACGAGATAGTACTGCGGGGGGCCAAGGTCTACTCTACTGGAGCCTGCATATGTTTAGAGTGTCCCATAAGGGCCAAACGATTACCTTTTCGGGGTCAGTGCATCTCGGGGACCGATCCTCAGCTCTAGCGTGGTGCCTCCAACGACCAGGCCGGAGCTTGGCTGATTCTCCACTCCGTCATCAACCTTGTGGAGCATCTGCGCTTGGACTTCATGAAGGACTTGAAATACGAAGTCTGGCTCTCTGGGAATGAGAAGTCCACGAGGGCAAAGAAGGCGGAGGTAGAGCAAGCACGAGCGCTGCTCGACTGAAATTACCCAGGCCTGAACCATCCCAGCAGCAAGAATTACGCAGAGGAACGCCGCATGCTGAGGCGAGGACTTCCAAAATTTCGGCCAAGGGGGACTACGAGACTCTTGCGGACCGAGGAGTTCGACCCCTTCTTTTCGGTGGGGCCCCGGAGATGTCTGAAGCAGTGGCACTTTGCACAAGGGCGATCTTCTTGTAGTTAAGCGGCTACAGTCGAGCTGCAAAGCCCATGCTGCCAGTGACAGTCACAGAGACCTAGGGACCTAGGGAGAGCTCCGGCTATTTGGAAAATAGCAACGGTGATTTTCCGATTCGTTCCCGCTTCATAGAGCAGGCCGACATGTCTCAGCCACCCACCGTGCTGGTGGACTCGCAGTGGCGACAGCTGAAGAGTGCCTGGCCCTTCTTGGCGAGGTGCGGCGCACGTGGACCTGCAGATATGTGCAGCGACGGCATAGGAGTCGGTGTGGAAGCTGCCCTGGAATGCTGCAGGCACGAGCACAAGTTTGGACCAAGCGAGCGCACAGCACTGTACAAGTATCTGCGGGATCCTGCGCAGTGCCGCGCCTGCATTGTTTTCCAGCCATACAGGCTGTTATTTCGGTTTTTTCGGTTTCCTGGTTTTCGTCATCATCTCTTACTTCCAGAGCAGGCATGCCTCGCAGAAGTATACATGTTGGTAGCAGGGTCCAAATGTCAGGTGGGGCATTTCCTGGTCTGCACTTGCCGCTCGGTTGTAGTTGTCATGGTCGTGATTCCAAGCACTTTGCCAGCGAGCTACTGGCCTAGCAAGGAAAGCATCGAGCAGGATGCCAAAAACCAGTTTGGCAGCGACTACATCTCAAAGAGCATGTGCCTTGCCTCACCTCGCCACAATTTCTGGGCGCTGCAACGTTGCTGTGTCTTCTCTGTCGGTCAGAGTCCTGATCACGGCAGCGATGTCCGATGCTGCAGGTGGCATGTGGTTCAGCAGATCGTGAAGCCAAGCTGCGCCGAGCACGGGGCGCCCATAGCATTGGTCCGGAATGGTAGCTTCGGCTCCAAGACCTCTAGCTGTACCTGTGTCATCCTGTGGCCTTGTTACTTGTTAGCGTAGGATCTTGCAGCGTTGGCAGGTGATTCTGGGGCACGTATCAGGTATAAAAATGAACCAGCCATGCATGGTACTAACGCCACAGTGCCGCCTGAGAAACAGTTATTGCAGGTGAGGGTATACCATCGTTTTTTTTTTAAGTTCGACGCGCACTGTTTTTTGTAAAGCGAATTATAATTAAAGAAATAAACTTCTCCGACTTGAGGGTGCCCTACACAGAACTGCAGAACAACATAATAGTGGCACGCCGAGGTCAGGGTACCTTGATTTTCTTGTTTGTTCCTTTGCGCATGTTTTTGCTAGCTTGTTTTGGTCGCATGGCTGCCCGAGTGGCTCCGACCCTTTAGCTTAAACAATGATGTTTTAAGCTGCTGCTGCCACGCATCAAATCAAAATCCAAGAATCTAGTGGCACTGTTTTTGGTTTTTGCCAACCGCGACATGAGCTTCACAGTGATTGGGGTCAACAGAACCGCGCAATCTTCAGATTGAAAGGTAGGCTGTGACAGTGCTAACTCGGGTCGAATTTCTTTCTTGCTCATGTCCTGTGCACTGCACAACCCAGGCTGGAACGTGCAGCTGAGACGCACTAACTAGCATAGTGGCAGAGCAGGTATCGCTTCCTTCAACCTTGGCCTGCTGAATTGCCAAGGTTGCCTGTGCAAGATTTTATCACTCATTGCTGGAGGGAGCCTTTCCACGAGTTCATGGACTCCTTGCGGCATGCCTACGACGTCCGAGTCGTGAAGCCCCACCTCTTCATTTGCGCATTCTCGCTCTTCCAAGGCCTTCTCGAATCCTTTTTTTTTGATGGCGAAGTACTGCGAAGATTCTAAAAAATGGTTTTGACAAGCTTCCCAACGTTTCCTCCGGGTTTGTGGCGTGGCATCTTTGCTTGCTGTCACAGCAAGGAGTCCCGGAAGACATCCAGGAAGCGCTGGGGCAATCCATCTCGCAGGCTCCGTTTGTGAAAGCCCTGGGAGCCGCTGAGCGCTATGTGGTTGTCAGGAATCGCAGCGCTGCTGCAGTAATCTGCAGTACTCGGTGCTCTTGCACATAAAGTAGGGATGTCAAGGAAGACGTACTCCCTGTCGTCAGTCTCAGGCATGGAAGATCTGTACACCCGTGCTTGGTGTCTTGTAGAGTACATCTACGCATCTTGGCTTGCATGGTGTCGTGGAAGACGGCTTCTGCAGTCAGTTCTGCGAAGGGAGCACCCACGATGTGTGAAACTTCAGAACCGCACAACCACTGACCACTGAGGCCAAAAAATTCGGCTTCTACAAAGACAAGGTTCTCGTTACAGGTCCGAACGAGTTTTCAGCATCCCTGCTGCAACAGGCATTGGATTAGCCTGCGGTGGTGTGCAGATTTGACGACTTGCCATACAAGCAAGCGATGCAAGCGCGAGCTGCATTCATGTTCCGAGGAGTCGAGAACCACTTGCACCCAAATCAAAGCGAGCCCCTTGGACAACCATGGCATCTGGTCATGCTGCAGCAGGGCTTTGTAGGCGGCTTATACTGTAGCTTTCTGGAGCTACGTGTACATCGTGTAGTAGTGATGATCGTCAGGTGACGAGGAAGACCGGCTCAAGATCTTCAAGCATCTCGCTTGCAGTTTGAAATGCCCCCAATGCGTAGAACAATGAGTTGGGCCATGCACATACTGCGCGTTCGGCTTTGTGGCCCCACCTGGAGGTTCATTATGGATGAAGGGGGACCGGCGGTGATTGACCCACAGATCCACGAGTTCCGTGCATTTGATGCACGGTTTGGCGGGCTGAGGTCTCACCCAGTCTGAACGTAGTTGGAGATCCGGAGTGGACATTGGCTGGGTTGCGCCCGAGCTAGAGTGTATGCGTGTATATGCATGCTACTGTCGACATATGTGCGTACACTGACACTGACATGTGTGTGCGTCTACACGTACGTCGGCAAGTAAGGAGGGTAATTAGGTCGGGCAGGTCGGTAAGTAGGTTATTGTTTGGGTGAACAACTATCGAAAGAAAATGACATGTTTAGGCAAATCTCGAATAGCTGCAAACCCAGCACACGTTTTTCGGAGCGGACCCCGCTCGTGTTGGAGCAGAAGCTCCAGATTTATGCAAATGCACTGCGGGTGGGATCCGCACAGCGGCCACCTGCCCGCCAAGGTTTTGTGTGAGTTCCTCCCAAGGAGGAAGCAGGGGACAGTCGGCCGGGATTCGCCCATGTAGTCGCTGCGTGACAAATGTCAGCAGCTGCCAAGCCATGAGCAGTCCCAACGTAACGCTTGCAGAGCGTTTCGAAACAGACCCGTAAATGTCGTGTCTAGCGGTGGAGTGTGGCATGCCCAGCTGTTTACGTGAGCTCCATTCCGGTCTTGCGAGGAGAAGCAGATGTTTTGGTGGTACCTCGTCGAAAGCGCCGCAGCATCTGAGGCTATGCATGCAGTACGATGCAGGCGCTGCTTGCTCAGATTCAGCTTTGCGTTGAGGTTGCGGTGAATCTGCTGCTCCCGTGCATGGTCTGCTCTCGACGTTCTGGTACGTGGCAACCGCCTCCCGAGTCCGGCCCCCAAGCTCAGTTGAAAAGCTTACGATGCAGCTTTTGACAGAGACCTAAGGGTCTAAGTTACTAACTCCAAAACCTATTACTGTTCTTATGAAGGATACTGAGTATGGTGTTTCTCAAATTGCTTTCTTGAGGGCTGAGTTGCCGGAGATGGAGCTTGCTGTAAACTAGCAGCTGCTAACTAGCGTTTTCGAGATTGTACAGGTGGGTGCTGCTGTTGCTGACGCTGATGTTGAACCTTGGAGGCGCAAAGTGCCGAGTTTCCTGCATTTCCGTGAAAGGAAGCGGCGGCGCAATTATTACCATTTTTAGATTTAGTTGTTTTTATTACTATTACTATTCTTGTTATTAAAATTGTTGTCATTACTGTTCGTATTATTAATGATGGTTAGGCGCCAGGCCGCTAGACACGAACCAGGAAAGATGCAGGCTGTACCTCACTGCCGAGGAGAGGAGGCTGCTTCGCAACCCCAGCGAAACACGAAGCACTTGTTTGATTAACGCACATTGCTTGCATCTCTGTTGGGTGCTGTTTTGGGATTTAGATTCCAGTGTGGGAAACCAACTTAGCCGATGACATCGTGCTGCCGTTTGTGCAGGCCCAAGCCCGGCCCAGCTCTGACAGACTTGCATTTTTTCGAGTCGCAGATTCAGTAGCGACTCACCGCCCCACTGTGCGCCATGGATGCAGGACCAGCTCTCAATTAGAAATTAAAGCGGAACAGTACTGTACAAAGTCTGTGAATGCGCAGGCATTCGAAAGAAGCTTAATGCCGAGCAACAGTAGAAGTGAGAGCACTGTGACATCCACCCACGCAGGACCCAGAACCCAGAACCCAGACAAGCTTAAGACCTGTTAGGACTACTACTCACCTGGACGAAGATGCCACTGCCCGGGCATTCTATGGCAGTTACGAATCGAGTGCAGCCTCTCTGCAGACAGTGGCCGGCCAATTTTGACAGTGCTTTTGCAGCTAGCAGCTAAGAGCACGTGCAGGTATGTGGCTCCGACCACTTTCCAGAAGCTGATCGCAGATTCGAGTTCAACTCCGCTGGTTGAGGTCAACCGCTGCGTTTTCATGCTGGGTCAACATGCCATGCCCGAGGATTGCATAGCTTTCTCGGACTACCAACGTACTTTGGCGCGGGTCGGTCTCGAGAAGCAGGTGCGGGTGAAGCCGTTTGAGGTACCACCGGAGTTCTTCCTGGCCTCCTGCTCCATCGAGGTCTCCTTCCCACGGCTTCCGCCAGCAGATGCAAGGAGGATCGAGATTTTGGATTCCGACATTGAAGAGGAGTTCCGGAAGAGTTTCACCAACCAGGCATTGGCCTGCAGCCAGCTCTTGGCGCTGCAGGTGAAGGGGGCACTTCTGAAGCTGCAAATCAGAAGCGCCCAGCCTGTGGACTTTGGCAGTGGGGCTGCCAAGCACGAGCTGAGCAGCGTGGGCCTCCTGAGTGATCAGACTTTGCTGAGCTTTTCCGCAGCGCCTCAGGCGTCTGGAAAGCTCTTGGTTCTCAACAACTCCAGCCAGCAGAGGACCATCTTTCAGCCCGACTTCTCCTTCGAGGAGTTGGGGATCGGTGGCCTGTCCCGTGAGTTCGGTGACATTTTCCGCCGGGCCTTCGCAGCACGGGTCTTTCCACCCAGAGTGGTCAGGGCAATGGGGATCAAGCAGGTCAAGGGCATGCTGCTCTACGGGCCTCCGGGAACCGGAAAGACATTGCTCGCACGCCAGCTTGCTAAGTTCCTCAAGGCTGTGGAGCCGAAGATCGTAGCAGGAAACCTGGACATGCCAGCATGCCTTCGAATAGTCCAGTTTGCTGTGGAGGCGTATGCATCCCAGGGTCCAAAACAGTCGAGCTTGTGATTGTGTTGGCCTGCAGCATTTTTTAGGAAGTATTGGCCGTGCTAGTTCCCCACAGGCTTCAGGCTGCGGGCTCGTGTTAAGGCTCGGGAATTTGATCTTCAGACTTTGAAGCAGGGTGGACGGTCGTCCGTACTGAACGATTCCTGCTTATACCTCTCATAGCTCGCACCCGAAAAGGCCAAGATGGGACGAACTTTGCACCGGCAGGACCCGAGCTCCTGGACAAGATGGTCGGGGAGACCGAGCGTAAAGTCCGCATGCTCTTCGCGGAGGCAGAGGAGGACTACCGCACCAACGGCGAGAACGCACAGCTTCATGTCATCGTGCTGGATGAGATGGATTCTGTGTGCAAGACTCGTGGCTCCAGCCGCGACAGCACCGGCGTCTCGGACAACATCGTGAACCAGTTTCTGTCGAAGATTGATGGCGTCGAGGCTCTAGACAACGTGCTCCTGATCGGAATGACCAACCGCAAGGAGCTCTTGGACCCGGCGCTCCTCCGTCCGGGACGCCTTGAGCTTCACGTGGAGATCGGCCTCCCTGACGAGGCCGGCAGGCTGGAGATCCTCAAGCTCGGCCCTCAGCTCTGACTCTGCAAGAATCGCAGATCCGAAGATGAAATGCCCCCCGAGGATTCACACGGCCAAGTTGCAAAAGGGGCGGTTCCTTGACGGGGGCGTGTGCCTGCAGGAGAGGGCATGCGGGTCATGTGCAGAGACGGCAAAAGCCTGCGAGTGCGAGGACCTGGCTGCCCGGACACGAAACTTTTCCGGCGCAGAGTTGGAGGCCCTGGTTCGTGCAGCCGTGGCTTCTTCCATGAGCCGGAAAGTGGAACCTCGGCTTTCTCCGCATTGCACCTCGGATTCGCGTTTCAGGGAAAGCCTGCTGTTTGCAATCGCTTCTGCCAGGACGTCCACAATCTGAACTCCGCGAAGGATCTGGATAGCATCGTGGTGACTGCCTCCGACTTCCAACTGGCCTTGCAGGAGGTCCGGCCAGCCTTCGGGCAGGACACGGATTCGCTGGAGGATTCGGCCACGCAGGGCATCATTCCGTTTGTGCCCGCTTTCACACACTTGTTGCAGAAGCTGGAGGGTTACATTTGCCAAACCCGCTCGAGTCCTGGCCCACTGCTTTTGACCACGCTCCTCCATGGAATGCATGGGAGTGGGAAGTCTGCACTGTCGGCTCATGTCGCGAAGCTGTCCGACTTCCCCTTCATTCGGCGCATTTCTGGGGAAAGTCTTGCTGGAGAGACAGAGCAGATGAAGCTCCAGACCATTAGGCGCACCTTCGAGGATGCACACAAGTCCCCGCTGTCTCTGATCGTGCTGGACGATATCGAGCGGCTCATCGACTACGCCTGCATCGGCCAACGCTTTTCCAACAATATCCTGCAGCTTCTGTTTGGCCTTCTGAAGAAGAAGTCCGACAAGGTGGACGGATAGGTGTTCAGTTATGATCGTTGGTGCTTTTGCTTTTTGGAAGAAAAGTGCATAGACTCTCGCGCTTCGGGACGTGTCTTTCTGGGCCCAGGGCTACCGGATGATGGTGATTGGCACCACGTCGGAGCTCGGCTTCCTCCGAGAGGTTGGCCTGCACCGGGCCTTCGGCACGGCGCTGCAGATCCCGGCGCTGGCACAGCGGAGCGCCTTCGAGGCGGCACTCAAAAGCCGCCGGGGCTTCAGCCCAGAGCTCTTCGGTCGCAGCTGAGGCTCCAAGAGCGCTCTTGGCTTTTGGGCTCTGCATCTTTTGATGCTCCTATATCTAAGGTTGGTGCGGGAGTTGGCAGAGAAGCTGGAAGGTCATACCATGGGGATCCGGACCCTCCTTGAGGTGGCAGAGCTTTCGGCACAGCACCCTCCTGTCCAGCTGTCCACGTTCATGGAGTGTCTCCATGATGCCAGCGTGGTGGAAGGGAGATCCTCTCCGGACCCATTCGAATACCGCTTCGTGTGAGTCTAGTCGGGCTTCGGGCGTAGGGCTTACGTCTCCGTCTCGATGAGCCACCTCCACTTGGGTGCAGCTCGGAGAGTGTTCATCCGAGGACGGGTGATATTCTGACATCCCTTAAGTTTTGTGAAGCAGATGTAATGTACAGATATGTCTGGCTGCATGCCGAGTCTTTGCTTGCCGCACTGTAGCTGTACAGGGCAGGGAAAGTCCAGCTCGGCATTCTCATTCGTTCGCAAGGATAAGAAGGCGAACCACGTCACAAATACGCCATTCAGAAGATCACCGCCGCATTCCACGAAAAGGGCCTGTATGGCCTGCTGAGAAGCCTCCTACTGTAGCCCCTGTCTACGCATTTCCGACCTTTCAGGTACTTTCTTGGAGGGCTTCTTCAAGTCCACTCGGTTGTCATGCCGGCCGGTGCTTGCAGGGCTTCCGTGGCGTATGGGCCAATGGAACTCACCCCCTCCTTTTCCGAGGATGATCATCTTCAGGAGCATAGAAATCAACAATCCCTGGCAACAAAAATACGCGGCAAATGATTTCCAATCAATGGCAATGCCTTCGTGTTCCGACATTGGTGTGTCGGGATTAGAGCGCTGTCCTCGCGAAGCAGGCGTGGTGAACATTTTCACCCAAAAATCGCAGTCTTGTCAAAGTCCCGCTTCCTTGCTTTGCATACCTTTGCGTGTTGATTAGCAAACGTCAGCCTTCGAAGCATCATGAGACAGCGACTAGCCTTCCAGGTTCAGGGAAGGGCGGGGGATTTGTGCAAAGCCCTTTCAGGGCAGCGGGTTGCTGCGTACTTCTCTGATGATCGCTTCTACCCTGTGCATGACGCAACCAATGAAATGCAATGAAGCTCTCTACGGAACGTCACAAAGGCCTCAGTAATTTGTTCATTTTTGTTCCCAAACAGGGCGAGATCAGAGAACTAAATGGCACGAGCATTGTTCACAAGCCGCCCGCACGTGAAACCAGTAACTGCATATTAAGTTTGCACTTCTGGTATATCCTGACTGTGAAACCTGAAAAGCTAGAGCGAATGCCTTTCCATGCATAGCATGATGAAGTCTCGTAAACACTCTACCCTCAGGCACCACCCTCCCTAACCTAATGTAGTTGGAGGGGGGTGTTACATCGATGTCTGTGTGTTCGAAGTGCATTTGTCCCTCTTCCGACGGGCTCATCAAGGATCCCAGTGTATTTGTTGTCCGTCAGACACCCAGCTGAGATAAGGTACTTGGGGGTCTTTGGTCATGGACCCCCGGAGCAACTAACAGCAACGAATAATTACTTAAAGGGTGTGTTGCGGGACTCCCCAAGCATCTTAGTTGTTGGGGGTGGTCCCTTAAGCGAAATTGAACCGTGAAACGAAGTTCTGAACGACCCCCCTCGCCTTGTTCGGGCTATGGCACCTAGGTAGAGTGTAAGTAGTGAGTAGTCTATCTTTGATTTGGTTCTCATGGCGCAGAAGCCGCCAGGCTCTCGCAGTCCATCCGCCGGAGCCAGAAAGATCACCTTCTGGTTTTCGCCGCCGCCTCTTTGAAATGCGTGGGCTCTGGTACTGTAGAGAGTTAAACAGTCAGGATTGAATGCATGACATGCCTGGTAGTGTGACCTCTTCCAAACGCGCCAGTGCTATGGTTGCAGCTCTAAGAAATGTGAGGTCACTGCGGAGGCCTTCAGCGCAGGCTTGCTTCTGTTACTCAGTCGTGAGCGGGAATGCGGCTAGTTTGCAGTCTCTTAATTACCGTTCGGGTGCAAGGCTTCCTCAGCGTGGCGACATCCTTCCCCGGCGACCAGCACTCATCTTGTAGAAAAGCCATTTGCGAAGGCCTTGGCTGTTTTTTTTTTTATATTTGATCGATTCAGGTTTCTGGAAGCGCCAGTGGCAGGGGCCTCAACCGTGATCCTCGGAGTTTCTACAGCAACCAAAATTGAGCCAGGTATCCCACTCGGTTTGAACAGCCTGTGGTTCGGTGGGCCGCGCAGTTCGGCTGCATCACAGATTTGACGGTGAAGCCGGCAGCCTTGCAAGGAGCCTTCTTCAGCCTCTTCAACATGATCCTCGGCCTTGCTTTCTACCTCTGGGGCGCCCGCATAGGTGCCCTGGCCCGTTCTGAAATTCTGAGTTCTGTTCTTGGGGGGGGCCTTGAGGTCGGCTTTGCTTCCGGAGGCCCGGAGAGTTATCGGAGCGTCTGGAGCTTCTCGGAGGGTTGCATGTCCCTGATGCAGGCAGTGGGCAGCCGTCGTGCGATTTTCCGAGGCGTGGCAGAAGGCGCCACGAAGCCAAGCTGAGAGGGATCCACGGTACCAGCTGCAGACTCTGAAGCGAAGGAATGCCCCGACTCACGGTTTCGGCTCGGGCATCACCGCACTCCAGCACCCCTCATCAGCATCGTAACCGTCTCGTCCGAGCACTGCCCTGAGCGAAGCCTCTTTGCACAGCCTAATCCGCAGCGATCAATCGGTTCATGTGCAAGAAGCCTGCGGCGTCCACGGTGTGCTGCACCGAGCCATACAGGGAAACAGCAGGCCGCAAATAATAAGACAAGGCAGCTAGGCAGCGAGCCTTGCGAAGCAATGGCTTCTGCTGCAAAGCTTGGTATGGTGCTTCAGCCCAGAAGAGATCATGTCCACGAAGTCAGCGAAGGGTCGTGTAGAAAGATACAAGGGAGCTGCGGATCAGATCGCCGAGGTGAACGATGGAAGTCACACAGATCTCCGTCGGAGGGTTTCATTTTCTGGCAGTGTTCTCTAACGGCGATTGCCGGAAGCCAAGCGTAGCGCAGACATTCGGCTGCTGGCGGAGCAATGTCTCATGATGAGGTTATGCATGGGGCAGCAACCAGCAGTGCCCTTAAACTTGTTTGGGCGCCGAAGGATTGTTCTGCTTCGTAGTGGCTCGTGCGAGGTTTGGACAAGTTGGTGCCAGTGCCTCAAAGAAGCCAAGCCCAGTTTCATTCGTCCGTCCTAGCCACTGCGGAGGACGGTTCTCGACAGGACTTCCAGTTGCTAATAGTAGCATGGCTGCCGCGGGCGATTCCTTGCTATCATCTTTCGCGTGACCGAGCAGGATCGCCATCAGCCGGTGTTCGTCCGTCATGAGGCGGAAGCTGGAGAAGAAGTTGCTTGTGCTCGGTGGCCTGGGTTATTGTCACATGTCAGGTGCAGCTGGTTTCTGCGGGTCGGTGCCTGGGAGACGCCAGCGGCCTTTTGGGCAACTCCTTTTTGGGCCAAGGTTGGTACCATAGCCTGGCGACTCTCCAAACCGGTGAGACCGTCGCTTGGGGTAACCAGCTCAGCTGCGCATAGCTGCGCTTCCTGTTCTTGGCCGGGATCTTTCTTTGAGGAGACCCGCAGAAAGCCAAAGGGCATGCTGAGTCTGAGGTCGGAACAACTGCGGACAGCTGGGCGATGGAACGAGGACAGACCGCACAAGGCCAACTCACTCGGGAAATGAATCAGACTTCTGGCGTTGCCCTGGAGCCCTGGTCAGGCCTGTTCCTGTGCTCGGGCCCATGGCGCTTGAAGGGACCAAGCTCATGAACGTAGCCTGCTGAGTTTGCTGGACGAGAGATTCCTCGCTTCCGCCCACGCGGCTGTATGACTGCACGAGGCAGAGCAGCTAGCTGCTGGCGGGTCTCCTAAGGATTTGATAAGCATTGCCTCTGGAGTTCACGGTTCACCCCGCCTTGCAAGGCCAGGACCACAGCTTGGCCATTGTCCAAGTGCCTGGACATGGCAAGTGTGGGACCGAAGCAGCAAGTGTGCGAATTCCTCCGATTTTGCGAAGTCCAGTTTCTAACGACCAGGTCCGTCGTTTATGGTTGGGGGGCGAACGTCGGCAAGCCAGCCTGGAACCCACATGTTGCTTTCGAGACAACACTTGGTTGGTCCTGGTTGTCTTCTTGATTGCCGAGTGCCAGGTTGCAGACGAGGATAGATTTACTATGGTCTCGCCGGATGTGCTGTACCCGCAGGCATTTCTGAAGCGATGATTTCGCAGTGGTTGGGTTCATCAGCTCCTGTGAGCCAGGCTCTCATTGTGGTTCGGATCCCCAGCATTGCCAGGGCGGACTTTGCATCGAGCCGTGCATCTCAGCATCCTCTTGCTATCTTGAGGATATCGTTCAAATCAGTGCAGGACGGAATCACTCATTCGCACGGGCCTCTTCTGGAGATGGTCCAGCACGGAGTGCAAGCAACCCCGGACCCAGGCACTTCGCGACACTGGGGAGTTGTTTGCCTGGGGAGCGATGCTCATGTTACACAGTTCCGGCTTACGGCAATGGTACTGTGGCTCTCTAAGGCAAGAACGGATATGGCCAGCTCGGAGATTGTAGCGCCCTCACACTCTGGCAAGATCCCGTGAGGATGGAAGCATCGCTGGCCTGCATCTAAGGCACAGTTCTACCCAAAACGGAGCCGACAAAAGTCATGAACCTGGCCTGGTTCCCCAGACGGATGCGTGCTCGGGGGAGGGAGACCGCCATAAACCCCTGCCCCTTGCCAAGCTTGTCCGAGTGGGAGTGTCAAAAAACCAGAGTGCCCCTGCCTTCCGTCGTTCCGTTTCTGGCAGACTCAGAGCCCTCGGGCCAAAGGTGCGGCAGGTCGCAGCTGGCGTTGACTTCAGCCTCGCAGCTCGCATCTTAGAATCTAAGCATGCACTGCAACTCCTCGTTCTTGCCATGTCGAAACGGCATATCGAGAGGTCTTGGACAGCAGCACCGTGATGGCCTTTGGTGGGCTCTCAGCGAGCAGGGTCGTGAACCCTCTCGATGGCAGCGTTCCTCTGCTGAGGTTGTTGCTCAGGAGGAAGGTTGGGCACGGGAGGCACCACCCACCTGCAGGCAGGACCGATGGGTACCCGTTACCCCTGTCAGCGGCGCATGAAACTTAATAAATCCCAAGTGCAGGCGCCGACGCCCGTCTTGGAAGGTGTGAAGTCGGTAGTCGCCCGGAGCTTTGAAGACCACAGCCGGGTCATCCACAGCCCACCCATCCTGAGGAAGCATGGGCATGATCTTGAGGCTGGCCACTGCCACTGCTTCGCGCTCCTCGAGTCGGGAGAATGTCTAGGTCCCTAACACGCTTCGATTTCTGACCCAGATGGCTTCCCGTTCAAACAGGCTGGGGTGTCAACCAGCACGGCTGCGTCCGTGTGGGTGCCTGCCACAGCCCAGAAAATTCGGAGCTTTCGAAGCGCTGGCCGCTGAGGCGGGGATCCTGAAATCCTGGCTCCAGTCAAGGCCCCCACGAGCCCTCGTTGAAGCGCAGCGTGATGGCTTGCGCTTCCCGGAAACAGGTCGATCTCAAGGACATCATGGAGATCAAAGCAGGGGATGGTACAACCTTAGCACGGCTATCAAATGGCCGCAGCCTTTGTGCTTACAGCAGTTTGTGGGGCTAATCTCGATTTTCGCGACGTCATGCGGTAGCGGGTGAGGTGATTATGCCGTTTGGGGCAGCCGGCTCGGCAGCCACTCAAACTCGGGCGAGGAGTCGGCGGCAGAATCGAGCTTTCAGGCCGCAACTGGCAGAACCAAATCGCCTGCCTCAACGATCTTGGACTGCCGCACCCTGAAGACTGGCCGTTGAAGCCACATGCCGGCCATAGCCAACCTTACGCAGCCTTTGCCACGATCTGCTGACGCGGAGGGATATCAGGGAGGCGTGTAACGGGGCGATGCCGGGATTGGTTTCACGCCGACTTGGGCGCCGGATGCCACGGGAGGGGGGGGGCAGGGCCGTAGGTGATGCCCCAAGTTCTTTGCCGAAGGTTGTCTTTTGTAGCAGTGGGCCATGCGTGTGCTTGACAATTTCGGGGGAAGCTCAGTCAGCAACTTCAGATAATTTTAGTATTCGACTTATATGAGTGTGATACCGGCAGGTTTTATCCCCCCAAGTCCCGGCAGTCAAGGGGGCGGGGCCCTGGTGGCTGAGCGATCTCGCATCCCCCATACCCTGCTGAAGAAGAAAGGCTGGACGCTCGACGTATGGATCGCATGCGGGGTGGGGGCCACACCGCCTTCCTAGATCTGCAGCAAACAAGAGAAGAAAGAGCGAGCTTTGTCAAAAGGATGGATGGGGACGCGCCTCGGCGCGAGTTGGGGGGGAACCCCTGACTCTTACAGTACCCTGAGCAAAGCAAAATGGCCGCAGCGCCCTGGGAGAGGGAGGCACGGGTGGCTGTGTGGAAGAGGGGTCGAACTCCTACTCCCGGGAAGGACGGAAGGAACGTTCACTGGCCTCCCCCCTCGATTGCTATCTTGCTTTGATGAGGGATCACGTGGAGTCTTTGCCTGCCTTGAGCGAGTGTGAGCGAAAACCTGTTGGGACTAGAAAAATTACAGCCTAAACCCGTCCCCCCAAAAACAGCCCGGGCTTTGGGGGGGGCGCCGGAATGACTTCAGGAAGAAGGTTTTAAGGGGTCAGGTCAACGGCCCCTGATCGAAGCCCTTGTGCAAGAGACGAAACAAAGTAAGCACGGGCATGCTAGAGGCCTAGCGATATTAGGAGAGAAAGACGATGAAAGAAGCATGGGTTGAGGTTTGCCTGCCGGGTGTACTTGCTGTGGCAGGCAGACCGGAAATTATCGTAGAAACGGCATGCAGCGCGGATTGTACTTGTGGGTGTGGCTGAGTCCTTTCACCCTAAAGTCCTAAGGCATTAAAAAAAGTCTTAAAGCTGTCAAACTCGAAAACAAAGACGAACTCCGCAAGCCAGGGATGACAGCTCAGTGGCGCATGCACGGAGTTCCGAGGAATGTAGCATTGAACTGGCGCCCTTGGCTTGGGCCGAGAGTTTGCACCTGCCTGCAATGCCCAACCCCTAGCCATCCTCAGAGTCCGAGGTCCAAGTGATACTGTGCGTGGGGAAGTTGCCGTTGAGCATCTCTTCTGCACGGGATTGCAGTGTTCAGAACGTTATGGACGAAGACGACATGTCAGATTATGCGAGAGAGGTCGATGGCAGATTCCAGCAACTACGACATCAAGGCCCTCATGGCTTCAAAAGCAGCTCTCAAGGAAGGCACGGGAAGCGTTTTTGACCCAAGCAGATTCAGATGAAACGAGATTGCAGGCCGAACGCCACATGGTGCAGCCGAAGTGGCCGCGGAGTTTGCCGGCAAGGCGGGCGCATTTTTTTGCAGGGTCTGGCGGCGCTGAAAGTGCATGGAGCCGCATGCAATGGCGGAACCTGAAGGCCGCGATGGAGGTGGCTCGCGCCAGCGGCGCCAGCCTGCAGGAGGCCCCAAACAGTCCCATTCTGCGATCCGACACGGCCGATCGATCACGCCTGGGTCCCTTTTCGCTCTCTCGAGCACAGGCTGCGGCAGCTGCAGGGAGAGCCGCGGCCAATGCAGCCCGCACAGCTGGAATGACGCAAGGCGCTTCACTTCACACGCCTGCACGCAGCACCTTGAGGGAAGAGTCTATATCATCTGTGTGCTGAAGGTATTTGCGCCAAGCTTGCGGCAGTCGCAGCGGGGCGGGCAGCTACCGAGTTTTCTTCAGATGTGGCCACAGCGGAAGAGGTGCCAAGTCGAATGCTGAGGGTACTCACAGATGAGCTGGGATGTTGAGGCTTGCGAGCAGATCGGAGAGTCCTAGGATGCTCGAAGGTCGATAGTGCAGAACCGAGCCAGACCGAAAGTAGTGGTTTGGCGATTGCCTTTGCCCCGCAACATGCATGTTGTTGGCATGCGCATGCTGTAGCTCCGAGTATATAAACATTAGAACTGCAGGAAGGCCATCGTAGCGGGCCGTATAGCAGATTCAGCGACAGGTTGCCGCCTCAGCTGCGGAAGCAGCGTATGCAGCAGCCGTGGCTGCTGGCATGGCGGCACTGTCGGCAGCCAAAGCTGCTGCCATCGCTGCCAGCAAGGCACAGTTCTCATTGCCAGACTCAACACAATGAAAGCTTCTCGAGATTGTACACTTGATGTTTCAGCCGCAGCTCTTTTTCTGGCCGGAAGAGCAACCGTGTGGCTTGTGGCTGTTGCTGGTGGGCTGATGTCTGTGGTGGTGTCCAACCTGGCAGGCGGCCTACTGGCCGAGATCAGCCCTGTGCCGGCGAGTCTCACAGAGTTGAGGTTGCAAATCGAGCATGCTACCGGCATCCCATCAGCGCTGCAGAAATTGGTGGCAAGCGGTGAGGTGTTGACTGCAACCAGTGAGTGCCCAACAGAAGGCTTCGAGGTGCTCTTGGTCAAAGACGAGACACCGATGTGGACCTGGGACACGGACAACAACCCGGACTCGTCCCAAATCGAAGTAGAGGGTGCCGTGATTCGGTCTCCCAAACTTCGCACGGACTTCTGCAATGTCTTGACCAAAGAACCCATGCGGTCGGGGCTGCACTATTACGAGTTCGTGCTGCACAAGGTCGGCGACGAGCAATGGTGTGGAGTAACAATGTCGCCGGAGATGGCTGGCAGCAAAGTGGACGGCAGGTCCCTGAAAGCTTGGACCTACTACTGCGGCCGTGCTAGCTCGTCAAGAGGCTCTATCCACAATGGCACGGGTGCGCTGCACGCTTCTGGGAAAGCCGTGGTCGAGTTCGAGAAAGCGTGCACACCAGGAAACGTGATTGGAATGTTGGTTGACGTGGACAAGCGAATCGTGGCCTTTGCCTTAGATGGTCGGGTACAAGGTGCATGCAAGGTTCCCGGAGACGAACCTTTGTATGTTCTGACCCAGATGGACACCCCCAGAGATCACGTGGAGTTGCGAAAGCCATCCCTGGAAGAAGCGCCACCTTCCAACTTTGAGGCCCTCAGCGGTGCTCTGCTGGACGCTGCGAAGGGCGAAACTTTGCACTGGTAGATTCCTAGCATCTCAAACGGTCCTTCGCCAGTTGACCTGAATCTCTGGCCAAGTCTCTTCTCGGCCAAGTCGCTTGTGCCTCCGTAGATGTGGCACTTACGCTTGTCAGCCCATTGCTTGCTGTACAGATGCGAGGGGGGGCAAACAAGAAGTCAAACAAACGCAGCCAAGTTTGGGACGACTTGGATGAGTACCAATGCAGCTTGCTGAACACCACTTGGCTGAAGGCAGCGCACTCGGCTACACTCCGTGCCGGCTGCGACCGAGACGAGGCCCTGTACAGAGTCTTGCTGTCATTCTCCGTAGCACCCCGCCCGCAGGCGGAAGCCAAGGCACAGGTCGCTGCGAGTCGGGCAGCCGTGGCTTGGGGCATGCAGGGGCCCTTCGCCCTTTTCTGTCACGTGACGGCCCACCGCACTTCCTGGTTTCAGGCAAGAGGAGGATACCATTTGGACCACGGCATTTTGCACGGGGAAGCTCACGTGTGATTTAGCAGTAGCAGCTTGGCAGCATGTGTGTGTGTGTGTGTGTTTGTGTGTGTGTGTGTTCGGGTTCCAGCGCATGGCATCAAAGTGTCAGCTTCTCAGGCTGACGGCTTGCAGCCGCATGAGGCTTGCCTGTTCAGAGACGTTTATGCAGTATCAGTGCAGTATCTACCAGTTGTTCATGCCGCAGGTGGCGCAGATTGCTTCGACTGCTGTGAGCAACTTGATGGCGATAGCTCTAGACTCGACTCTAGACGGAATGCTGTCCAAGCATGCGCACACCATAGCCTGCCACTGGCACATCTTTGCAGAATGAAAGGCCAAATGGCAAGGGCAGAAGCAGAACGAGGAATGCAAGGGCTGGAGGATGCTGCGATGGAGGCACTTGCATGCCGAGTTTGCTGTGATGTGCATGCGAGAAACGACGTTTTTGGAAGGCTGGCAAGGCTGCCGCGAGGGTTGGTCTGGATCTGGGTTCGATCCTTGTCGGATCGGCACGCTGCTGCAAGATTTTGTGCCTGTTTCTTCCTCCGTTCCCGAGGCATGAGCGAGCAGACCTCCTACGAAGTTGCAGCAGCCACTGCCGCAGAGATGGCGGAGGCTGACAAGTTGCTACATTCTGCAGCACCGCTCGCTTCAGCTCCTTCCAGGGCATCGCTTCAGCTGCGTGGAAGCGCCTCTCGGCAAGCATATGCTACAGGTAGCAGCGTTAGCACCCTGAACTCGCAGAAGCCTCACATCGCATTCCCGTGCTCTGACGGTGCCTCGAACTGAAGCCCATTGCCAGATGCCGCTCACAAAATCATGAGTCAGCAGTGCTAGGAGAGTCATGGAGAGTACACTCCGGATTCGTGGCTGGCACTGCCCTCGCAACAGCTCCCGTGACTTTCGTGTTGACCGCCTGATTCAGCCTTGCACCCAGCCGTGCCAAAGCATCGACATGTAGCTGCTCATGCTGCCGGCCGCACGGTGGATTCGAGCGGCAACACTGCTCTCGGCGCTGACATGCGCGCTGCTCCCTTCGCCAGGCTTTAGCAGTGGGTGTGTGTGTGTGTGTGTCTAGCTTTCCAGGGCCTTCATTGTGCATGCTGCAAGATTTGCAGCGAACTCGACGCAGGCTTCTTCTCGGCTCCGGGACAGGTTCCGCGGCTGTCGACCAAGGCAGGCTTCCAACTGTCCAGGTCTCTTGGCTTCTGACTCCCAGCCGCCCGCTGTTTCCTCGATGTCGGCAACTGAGGCTCGGAGTGGGTACCTGGCAGTGGGGAAACAAGCTGCTCTGGGGCTACGACGAGAAGGACGACTCCGACCTGCGCGAGGTGTTCTTGGGCCTGCGTTCAGTTGTCGTCGTCCTCCCTCCTATGAATGCGGTGGCTCTAGTAGCGGTAGTGCTGGTTCGATCTCAGAAAGAGAAGCCAAGCTGAACACCAGAAGGGGACTAGAGTGACTAGAGATTTTGGGAACTCAGAACTACAGTACCTGACCGCAAAGGACTCAACATGTGAGGCAGCCGAACCAGCCGGTTGAAAGGGATTCAATACGTTGAGAAAACAAGCGAAACGCATGCGAAAAGACTAGAAACGTTCCCCCCGGTCCTGTGGCAGCGGAGCAGGCACCCTCAAGGCACTGCGGCTGGCTGAGGAGATTCTAGTCCTCTGAGCTCCGGGTCGTTAAACGCGCTCCTGAACCGCTTCCCACACTTGAGAGCCTCCCTGTAGCCCTTCGAGGACACCAAAGGTACGCGAACGCGATCAGAGAGGCGCAGGAAAAAGGGAACCGCTCGAAAGGGGTCGGACAAGTTGTGAAACAGGGGGAATCGGAGGAAGAGGAGGGAACCGTTCCAAAGGGACCGCAGATTCTGAGAAAGTGGAGCGAGGCAAACCGTGTGAGAATGATTGAAGATCATGAGAAAGAGCAGAAAGATAAGAAGAGGCGCTCGAATTGCACTGGAGCATTGAAGAACTGCCACACTGCACTGCGACCGCCACTGCTAATGCTGTCACTGCCTCGACGACTTCTGCTCTGCTCTTGCTGATGCTTCTACTGCTTTCTTTGTGCTACGACTGGTTGTACGACGACACCACCCCTACACCTTCAACTGTGGACCCCCGTTCCACTGCTTCTGCTCCTCCTCCTGCAACGCCTGGTGGCCATCCCTATTCGTGACTTGTGGTTACTCCTTCCACCACTTCTGAGGCGCTCCTTATGGTGCCAACTCTTTTTTTGTTCTTTGAGCGGAAGCTCAAGGTTTCGGACCTTCACGGCCGGAGGGTCCAACTGGTTCGACACAGGCGATAGCTGCTTGGCAGATTCGGCATCTCGAAGCCCAGCAACAGTTTTCACAACCTGTAGTAGGGCCGCGGGTGATGCAATCGGAGTGGTGGTGATGGTGAATGGCCGATGATGGCATGGCAAGGGCAGCAATCGTCGTCCTAGAAGCGGAGCAGCAGATGTGGGTCTGTGTGTGCTGGTGCTCGTTTAAATCTTAATGTTGTCGCAGCATGCGGCGGCTGTAGAAGTGGCAAGACCGCGCCGGACACAGCAAACAGGCATTACGGGCTTCGCAGCAGTCCTAGCGGATCCGAGGCTACGGCACCGGCGAGCTGGAGGGTCGGGCAGAGATCCTGCTCGGACGCTTCAGCCGTGAAGCTTCCGATTCAGGCAGAAGCACGATTACATTTCACGACACTGTCCTGCACTGTACCGTGCTGCAACACAGAACAATCGCGGCCTTGCTGATGGCTCGCGGCCTGTGACATTAGCAACAGCTTCGGCACGAGAAGGTGCTTCGGTAAAGCTGGCGACGAAGCTGGCAGCTTACCCATGGAGGCCATCTTGCAACTAGTCATCAAGTTGTTTCTAAGCTGCCCAGCCTGGGTTCTGACATAGACTGATTCATGGGCCCAATGGATGGCAAGCCGGACGAGCCTTCAAAAAGCGTGCAAGCTTTCTCGGGGTATTGGAAGCCCATCGCAGGCTGACGCCAGATTCGATGGTCGAAGCAGTGAAGGCGAGCAATGCCCGCTTGGGCAGAGCAGTTGACATTGCTCAGATGCACGCTCCCCGGAGTCTGCTGTTGTTGTGCATTTGAGAGAGTTGCCTTAGACCGGGGAGTCCTTTGCGGTACTGCATGTCACTAAGACCACCAGCATGCAGTCGTCACTCACGGACCTTGGGTAGAAACCCTCCTTTCTCTTTTCGGCAGACTGGTTGAGGGAGTGGGTCTCTGAGGCACTGGAGTCCGCGCAGCTATGGCTTCGGATTTCAGGAGGACGCACTGCTGGAAGGCCTTTGCCGCTGCCTCTCTGACGGCAGATGGCATCAACGGTTCGTCGCATGCTCACTTCATGCATGTTGCTGGGGGGGCCTGCTTTTCCAAGGCTATGAAGCCGGGCTTTGCAGCGCTGTTGGGCTGTCGAACTTTGGGCCCAAAGGCGGAGTTAATGAACAATCCTAAACGGAAACAGCGAGGGGTCGCGGAGAGCGAGCGAAAGTTCTGGAATTATAGACAGTAGGCCTCCGTCGTGCGGCCGCCATCTTTGACACGCGGGGCGTGCCATTGGCCCCACGGCATGGGACATTTAGGGTCTGTGAGTTTAGGCGAGAGCCGAGAAGAAAGACTTGGGCCTCCAAACTCCGAAACCGAGGTCCTCAATCAAGTGCAGTATTCGCTCCTGTCACTCGGCACACGGAGAGGACTTGCAGAGTGCGGCAGACCACTGATGAACAGAGGTCAGCAGAGCGCGAGTCTGGAGTCGCCGAAGCAACTTGGCGCGATTCAAGCGACGTTTGTCCTCTCCGCCAGGCTGCCATGCTGCGGCTCTGCGCATCGGTTCAACCATGCTCTGCGCATCGGGCGAATCATCAGGCAGAGCCCCAGATATACCGAGGTTTGCAAGGAGCTGGGCATCCGATTGGTGGCATACAGCCCGCTCTGCCTGGGAGTGCTCGCTGGAAAGTATAAGACCGGCCCTTTGGAGGCAGTTCTGGCCGCTGCATACGTTGCCGTGCTGCTATTGTTCATGTGATCTGATGGTCACAAAAACCGTGCATTCATGTGACAATACATAAGCAATACTTGTAACAATGCATATTTAGAAACATATATATATATATATATACACATGTGTGTATGTATGGACACAGACATATATGCACAGATAGATAGGTAGGTAGGTAGGTAGGTAGGTAGGTAGGTAGGTAGATAGATAGATAGATAGATAGATAGATATAGAGAGACACACACAGAGAGATCGACGGATAGACTCCATCATGTTTGCTGCTGGCAGTATCCTGTACCCAGGTCCGAATGCCCAGCTGCCAGATAATTTTCTCCGCTCATTACTTTTCTCTTCACTCCTTGGAGATGCAGGCAGGATCTGCCAATATTGTGAATTCGGGGTTGTGCGGTGTCGTTCGGCCTTGTCCTCCCCAAGCGCTAATACTCGTTGGCGCATCTGTGGCTGCAGGCACAACAAAGCTCTTGGGCCTGTTGGGAGAAATCGCGGACACCCGGGGCAAGAGTATGGCTCAGGCTGCGTGGCCGATCCTTAACTTAAGATTCCGGAGCTTCTCATCGCCATGTCGGCTAGTTGTCAGCGGCCCCCTCCAGGCATAATTCTGCCTAGAGCCTTCGTTGCGGGCGCGACATAGCTGGTCTTGCAATGGCGATGCAACGGTGCGTTCCAAGTTCGCGTCTGCTGGAGTTGAGGTGGCTTTAAACTTTGCCATGACAGAAGGAGGTGGCTGTGCAATCGTCGGTGCCCGGAACCGCCAGCAAGCGCTAGAGAGCTTTGACTTCAAACAGTCTTCGTCTGTCGCGATGGTACGTGAGGTACGTGAGTCTCTTGAGTCACGGGCTGGTGTAGGTCCTGTAGGTGAGTGTAGGTGAGTGTGGGGATACCGAGGAACCTGGGAGCCTGTGGTTGGGAGACCTGGCAGCCCCCCCTGCGATTGTTGATTCATCCTGATACTACCCATCGGCTCCAACGTAGATTCTTTTGTTTATTGGTTACCGTGTGCTTAAATATGCAGTATTATTAGTCAAGGATCGTAGCCATAAACTTGGTTACCCAGAGAGGAACTACGTACAATGGAGACTATGTCTATCATCTCAGGAGCTTTCCGATGCCGAGGTCGAGTCGCAGCTTGCCTAGTAGGCATGCTGAGGCTTGCACCGTTTTGGACCTGTCGCTATGAGTTTGATGCAAGAGCTTTCTGTCCAAGGCTGTCGCAAGCTGCCCGGAAAGCGCCCAAAACGCAGAAGAACGCCTTCTTTTCGGACTAGCCGACTCGCCTAGCTCGCGGTGTGAGCGGGAAAAGACCACGCTGCCTGCCTCTTTCGAGGGCGGCGAGTGAGATGCCATGACATGACCCTGAGGCCAGGAAGAGGTCGCGACTTGGTCCGGGCGCGCTGCCCTGCGTGCAGCCACCTGGGCCGGAGCAGCGGATGAAGAGCTGCTCTCGGACTTGTCTTCCAAGGCTGCTGGCCAGGCGGGTGTAGCGAAGAAGCCCAGGGAGACGATGGCCCATAGAACCCACTGAAAGGCGGCCGCCAACTTCATTGTGGACGAGGGGAGGAGTACATGCACATCTAGCTCCAGTTCTGAGAAGGACGGCAACGATTGCATGTTCAGGACGCCCGGAGTGGCGCCAAGCGCAGCTGGCCAAGCAGCCTGCAAGGCTTGCGAAGCATCAGGCGCCATGACTCGATTATTGCGTGCGGTGACTTGCTGGTTTCTCAGCCGCGGCCTGCAACTAACGGAACTCGGCTGTGAGTGTTCTTGCCTTTCTGGGTCCTGGGCCCATGCAGTTAAAAAGACAAAGTGTAGGAGTGCTTAACCATGCACGTTACTTACTGCTCGACGATGAGTTTGTTGAGACATGTTTAGCTTGTATCCTATGCAGTAAGAAGCATGATGACGTGATAAATGAATTCCTATGAACGCTGAGGTAAAGGATATCAAACCAGTGAAAACCCTTTTCGTTGCCACCCGGTGTCGGATAGTGCATGCATAAGTCGAATATCAAAATAGTCTCCACACGGAGTCCTCGGATACTGCTATGCGGGAGCTAAAAATAAGCCTTGCCTCAAAGGCATTGGATTATAGAGCCTTTGAAACTAAACCTGTGATTCGCTCAGCAATGCAGGAGGCAAAATAACCTAGCAAAATCTATCTGACCGCCTTTGCCCATTTTCGGAAGATAAGACCACCGCATGGAGTCTGGATGAGGTAGGTGGTAGTTATTTGTTCGTATGCTGGTATTGGTAATGGGGAGGTAGTAGTGAGATATTGGGTGAGGCCTAGGGCATAGGGGGGAATATAGGAATAGTCGTACTATCTCCCGAATGGGTTAGGTTAGGGGGTCACACGTTGATATCTGGCCGGGTGGCGGCGGGCCTGTATGATTTAGGGCATACACGNNCAAGTGCTGTAAATTACATGACTTCGTGCTTAAGCCTGTGGAAATGGAGGGATTCATGCTTCAGTGAAATCCGGGACTAAAACTTAGGGCACTCATTTTAGCACACGTTCCCGAAGTGATCCTCGACATCCGCTTTGGGACCCTACTGCGAGTGCCAGACCCGGCTGTAGATGTATCCAACGAGATGCACGTTGTATAAAGAGGCGAAATCGCTGTAAATAGAAGGGTTTTGTGCATGCCTGCAAAATGGCATGAACACTTGTGACAGCGCCTCGTGCTGCTGAACATCAAACATCCTCCTGCAACATGTTGTATAAAGATGCCAAAATGCTGCAAATAACAGGGCTTTGGGCATGTTCGCTAAGGTCATGAACACTTGTGACTGCGCCTCGTGTTGCTGAACATCAAACATCCTCCTGCACATATTGCATAAACAGGCGAACACGCCGTAAATAGCAGGTTTTTATGTTGGTTTGTGTAACATGGTCGCAGCCACCCCCCTCCCCCCCAACCCCCCTCCCTCACCCCTCCAACCCCCTTTGCCTTGAAACAGAAATCACCGAAAGACAGCAGAATCCTAGGAAAAGCACCTGGCCAGATAGGATAGGCGTGTGTGTGGGGTTAGGGCCGGTTGGGGCTCTGCTAGCTAGTTCTTGGCTGCTCTCATAAGAGAATGTTTGTGCCTTTGCTTTGAGGACTCTGGAAAGCGAGCCTCAAAGTGCAGCTCTCCGGGCGTGCTGCAGGGGCCGCCGCACAGCAAATTGGCTTACCGCCGGAGAAGGCAACACCGTACGGTAGCTGCCGCAAAGCTTGCGAATGGATGATGAAATCTTGCTGTTGGCGACAGTCCTTGCATTGAAGCCGAAACTGGATGAGTGGTTGCAGAGGTGGCCGTGGAAGCTGGGCGAGCAGCTGCCATCGTTGCAACCGAGTGTCTCGACTTTCCCACTCGCTTTCTGTGAACTGGCCCCCTTCACTGAAGATTCGGGAATAGCTTCATGTTGAGATAGTGCCCAGTGCAGATTAAAGGTGCCGCGTGAGAGCCGAGCTTCTTGCCAAAATGGTCGGCTCAGCAGCTGGTGCCGCAGGGCTGGCCGCGTCTGGGACTGCAACCAGATCTCACCGCACAAGTTCATCAGCCGCACGAATTTTCGGTCTTGTCTCCTCAGGCCGGCATGACCTTGGAGCAAGCAGCAGAGGCGGCCAAGCTGGCTGCCCAGACCGAAGGCTATGATGCGGGACTGACGCCGGAAGCTTGGCGCGCAACCGTCTTTACGAAGCCTGGTGCTAGCAGTCAGTGTAGTACAGTATTGGTTCGTGGGGACTGCAGTCATGTGTGCTAACAATAGTTTCATGTGGAACCGACCTTGCTCGTCCTGCAAAAAGTATCCTGTTCCAAGGATGTTGCGGCCAGAGCAGGCCGCTTGGCCTACGACAAGGTGTTGGGCAGCGTCCCCAGCGAGCAGTCTGCAGCACATCGCTTGGGGCTGTGCGGCTCGTTAAGAGGCATCATCCATCAAAGTGATTCCGAAGAGGACGGCCTATGTCGCTGCTGTTTCGCCGTGTTTGTGAGCCTGCAATGCTGGCGGCACTCTGTGCTCCTGAACATCGTCAGCTGCCGGTGTTGGCACTCCTGCACAGACACGAGAGTTTCCCTGTTGAAAAGCAGGTCTGCTGTAAGTGCTGCGAGGTTAGCCACGCTCTCCGAATCCATTGCCCGACGCGAACCTGACAATGCTAGCAACTCCAAGCAAGCCTCCTCATGGTAATGGACGTCAACACCACTGCGAACACGCCGCTCCATGCTAGATCGCAGAATGCCATGGCAGCAGCTTCAGGGGGCCTTTCTCCAGGAGGCATGCGCGTGCTCGTGTGAATTGACAAGCCTAGCAAGATCCTGCAAGTGCACCCGTGCACACCTCCCCCCTGTACCCACACTCCAACAAAAAAACATCTCAAGTCCAGACAAGAAAACAGACAGGCCGAGATTGTGGCTACCCAAAGGCAAGACCGCGACCCAGAAAGAAGGTGCAAGCTGAGACTGTACAGCCAGCGGCACCCTGGCAGATGCAGACGGACGCAAATATGCATCGGCTTTAAACATGTTGTCATAGGCAGAAGACGGAGTGAAAGGCTGCCTACCGAGGTTGACAGCATCCCGGGCTGGCAGATGCTCCCCGGCAGATTGCAACTCCAGATAGCTGCGAAGCTGTTATTGCGTGTCACTGATGTTGCCGCGGATGTTACCGCCGTATGCCGTCATGAGGCTTGAAGTGAACGCGACTTCTCAGCCGGCAAGCCTTCCCTTGCCAGACACTGCAAGCTATATGCAGAATATGCAGCTGTCCGAAGCTTCGGACGCTTGCGGTCCCCGGGAGATCTGGAAGATCTTTGGAGATCTGAGTGGCCCCCATCAGGAGCCAAAGGATGTGCGTTTGCCAGCCCAGGGCATGACATACCCAAAGGCTCGAAGCGAGGACGCGGTGATATACCTTCCTCGGCCGGCAGCCGATCGGCTGCGGGAATCCAACTCGAAGCAGGTATCCGAGCTTTGGCAGCTTCGGATGGCTTTGCACCGGAGCATGTCCCGTGCCCACAAGCATCAGTGCTTACAGGCCAGGCTGTCTGCTGCAAGGGCAGGGGCTTCCGCGTCTTTCACGGCCCTGGAGAACCGAACCTCGACCATAGAGGCGGTGAGCGAAAGCAATTCGAAGAAGCTGCAGCGCCTGAGGGGTGTGGCTCGAGACCTGGGGCTCAAGTGCAAGTTGGCATCGGCAAGACTTCGTCACCTGCTTGCAGTGGTTGTTTGCACCACGCAAAAAGCTCAGAAGCGACCCGAGACCTGAGGTGTCCTAAGGGCCATGGCAGAGCAAATCTCCAAGGAGACCTTCGCCAAAGAGAGAAGCAGTCTGATGGCTCTCATCTTCGAGCTTCACATGGAGCAGGTGGGTTCATGGCTGCGTTTCATGCAGGATCTCCAGGAGAGAGTGATGCCGAGGAGCAGGCCACGCCGGAAGTTCTGCGCCACGTCCAGGAGACCAGTCACACAAAGAGCCTGCTACTTTGATACCGGGTGGGCACTGGGGGAGAGCCGGCTTCCGGCTGCAATCTGAGGAGCAAGTCCTGAAAGCGATCGATGCAGAGACCTGCCTCACTTGCCCAGCCTTCGAAGACCGCGAAGGCGACACCCCCACAGTCCCCACAGGCTTGGATGGCCCTGGCCCGGCTCCGGCTCCCGCCGTGGTTGAAGTTGAAGGCAACTTCGTGATTTACATGTACTTGCCGCCACTTCTTCGCTCCTCCATTCTGCCGGCGCCATCAAAGCAAGCGCAGCGACAGCTGAAGAAGGCCCAGGCATCTGGCCTGCTGGAAGGCATCGTGCAAGAGACCCTGAGCAAGTTCGGCCTGAATGCCCGAGTGCATCGCATGAGGCCACCCATACTTCTCGATGGTGGAGAGATCCGAGCTCCTTCTGGTACTGCCACGATACAAGACTTGGGCCTTGTGCTCGCCCCGAGCCCTCCCGGTAGAGCCTGGGTGGTGGAGGCAGTGGAGCAGAACAGTTGGGCAGATGCCTTTGGAGTGCGTGTAGCGGACCGCATCTTATGGATCAATGGCTGGCCGACGACTGCCATGAGCCCGGCGCAGGTTCTGCGGTGGAGCGAGCATCCTCTTACTTTGATCCTTGACTGAGTTGGATGCTTTCATGCGTTCAGCGCGCCTGACGCATTGAGACGCCAGGTTCCTCGCTCGCAAGGGAGGCGAAGCCTCCATGAGGATGGAAGAGTCTTGCGCGCTTCGGATCCAATCGAGCTGGCGCGCGCGCAAGCGGTTCCAAGTGTCCTCAAGGCGGTCTCCAAGTCTGATGGGCCTACCTTTGCTCCTCAGCTCTTCCATTCGAACGGGAGTCGAGCGCACGCGCTTTGTGAGATGAGTTTGACCCTTGATGCCTCTCCTGCTCCAAGGGCTGGCCACACAAGACTTTCGGCATGTGCTGGGAGACTGGTGTCTGCGTTGGGCTTACACTTTCTGTCGGCCACCTTGCCTGGCCCGTTTCTTCAGATCGAAAGCTTCTCGGTGGCACCAAATTCCCTCATCCGCGTGTCGTACGTGTGCTTTGTGGCTCTTGCGAGGACTGGACCCGGAATCTTGGGCAGAGCGGGTGGGAGTGGAGGTTGGAGACAAGCTACGATGCATAGATCGCGAGTGGACCGAGCATCTTACAGACTCTTGGCCGAAATCTAAACCCTAAAGCCTCGAAGCAAAGGCAAGTATGCATGGGTCCCTGGCAGAGAGCCTGTCCGGTCTCCCGCCGTAGCCCAGGACCAACGCTTCGCGCAGTTGCTGCTTGAGCGGCCTATTCGGCTGATCTTCGACTCTGTGGAGCGGGTGGGTGAGACCGGCGACACCACGCGATTCATTGCAGTGGCTGGTATTAAGGACAGACAGCTGGGTTTCCGACTTGCTTCTCTGCCTCCGGCTCCGTATCTGTTGGTCCAGAGGGTGGAGGAACATTCATGGGCTTTCCATGCCGGAGTGCAAGAAGGTGACCACTTAATGGCCGTGTACCGGAAGCGGACGGCCGAAATTTCCGCTGAGGAGTTGCTGGGCATCTTCAGAGGTCCTCGCCCGCTTCGCTTGACGTTCAGTCGCCTGAAGCGTTTCACTGTCACCATCACTTCGGAAAATCAGATGGGCTTACAGACCAATGGCGTCCCTCCAGCGGCGTTCTTGGAAATACGGACAGTGGATCGAGGAGAATGGGGTGAACAGGTGGGAGTCTTCGTTGGAGACACCCTAGTAGCGGTGAACGGAGTGTGCTTGGACAGTATGCCCAGGCGAGAGTTCATCCGACAAATGAAGGAAGAACGACCACTGTCCCTCACTATCGATCGGAATCACGGAGAGAATTCACTTGACCGCTTTGAGCGCTTCACAGTCACTGCGGGCCGGGCACTCAACGATGCAGGACCGGGGGCGGTTTGGGCATTGCCATTTTCTGGCTCCCCAGGTGAGGGAGATGCCCGCCTTGGCTTGCGACTGTCCGGTTTGCCACCCGCAGCCTGGTTACTTGTCGAGAAGGTTGCTGATGCAGGCAGGACGCTACCATGCTGACATGTTGCCTCCTTCCATCAAGCTTCACACCAGGCTGGGCACAAGCGATGCAAATCACGGTGGGGGACCGTCTTGTTGCAGTGGAGCACCTGAATCTTGGACGTGGTTGGCAAGTGTTCTGAGCCCCCGCCCTCTTTGTCTCTCCCTTCTTCCCTCCTTCTCTCTCTCTCTCGCTCTTTCTCCCTCTCTGTCCGTCTCTCTTGCTCAATCGCAAATCTGCATCTACTGCACGGCGCGACGATCTCTGCGATGCGCCCATCGCCACCGCCCTGTCGTCGTCATCGTGAGCATCATAACGTTGAGCGCCGCTGCCTTGATCATGGCCCTCATTCTCAAGTCAGGGGCACCAACACAATTATCTCACCGCCTCGGACAGAGAGACCTCGTCAGGCTGAGTCCGAGTTGCGAGAGCGTAACCCCCTCGGACACAAGCATGCACCACCACGAGTCGGTGCTCGGAATACGTTGCAGCCAGGTGCCTGGACTTGGTGCAGAAGGAAGACTTCCTGGAGATGTTCCGAAACATGCGACCGGTGCGGCTTACGTTTGCGCGGGCAAAGGATGGCAAAAGCGATATCCAGAGTCGTGACCAATGCAAGACATGCAATCTCTTCGCAACATTGCAAAGACAGGCAGATCGCAAGTCAGTACGTGCGAGCTAGCGAGATGTTTCGGAATCACAGTGCTAGACCAACCAGCGTAACCAGCTTGTCCTCACAGCGATTGTGACATGCAGCAGATTCCGCCGCTGTGCTCACATACAGCCATCGCAGGAGATATTGCAAATGCAGACAAGCTTGACACTCGGCTGCCGCAGGAGCATGAGCAAGATGTTGTCGAGGAGGTCGGCCGGGTTGTTTCACTTGGAAGACTTGTCATGGTTTAGTCATGGCTGGCAGGAAGAAGAGGTGGTCGAAGAGGAGGAGGCCTCGTCTGAAATGCACGACCAAAATCTGGTAAGTAGACGCTGCATGGGCTCGATTTGTGGAGGTTGCAGTGGCGGGGGCCTTGCACATCCTTTCACGATGTGATACGCATCTTGTTTGTTTTTTGTATTTCTCAGGCTCATGGCTTTGAGTCCCTCCTCGACGCTGAGGACTCCCCGAGCCTCGCTGCAGAAGCGACCGTCAGCTGTACGACTCTCTGGCAGGACGCCTTCAATGAATGGATGCTCTCCGCATGTGAAAAATACGGCAAGGCACAAAGCTCACCTGTGCTGTCGTGTAGTTGCATGCCATCGCTCGTTCCTGGCAGGGCATCCATAAGAAAGTCCATGGCAAAGCCAAGACACTTGGCAGAGTCGTGAGCCCAGATGTCACCGGTGTGGGTGCTGTCTGTTTCTGCGTTCGCTTTTCCGAGGCCTATGCCTTAGTGTGGCAGGCCTACAGGAAGAAGCTGGAGAAGGACACACGTCCAGCTTGGCTGCTGTCAGACTGTCAGACGCTATCAGGGTCCACTCAGTGCGGCGTAAGGATGAGAGTCGCACGGACGACATTGACAAGGCATGGCAAGAGAATGGGAGTAGCACATCATCGGATCTCACCACCTCGGCGGGCGCAATCGGATGTTGTTTCCAGGACGACCATGTGCTGCTCGCGACTTATGTATCCCCTGTGAAAAGGGGTGGAGACGGCCCCAGTATCCTACCGAGGATGGTATTCCATGCCAAGCTCTACCGAGATATCGGCTCCTTCATCACAGCTGCGTGCTTAGCCACCTTACCTTCCAGCTACTTAACACACACACACTAGGTACTTCCAGGCGGATTCTAGAGTACATCTGAGGCTGACCACATTCCTGGCGGGGCGGAGCAGTTCGGCTGGCCGCCGTCATCTCAAAATTGCGAAGTGGGAAAGTGATCACGGTACAGCTCGAAACAGAGCAATAAGGCCACAAGCAACCAACATCCACACCGGGACGATGGCTGTCCAAGCTGCAGTGACCCAGGCTGCGAAGGAACGCGACTGCACGTCTTGCTATTGCAATTAAGCGGTATGTGGGTACGTTCAAACTGGTTACAGACGTGGCAAGACTGTCCTCAGTCGATGACGGACGATCACCTGGAGCAGCTGTTCAGCGGACCACCACCAGTACTCAATGCGATGCTGCGTGGAGAGCAATTAATTCTCGTAAAAAGTGCGGGTTTGCAGCACTCTTAGGCGAGGTGCGCCGTCTTTTTCTGACGCATGCTTGACGATCACGGCATATTCGTTGAAAGCACATTAAATTAAACGTCGAAAACTCGAACTTGTTCTTCATTGATCTTCCTAGCTCGGGGTTGGAGGTAGGCATGGCTGTACAGCCCTGCTTCAACAAAAACCCAACTCAACCGTGGCAGTGGCCTTCGAGGTTAGCTAAGCTGGCAGGGGAAACGGATCTGAAGGTGCTGCTCCGTCCTCAGCGCCAGAGACCACACACCGGCGCACATCAAGACGAGAGCCTCGAACACCCAGGCACGGCCCTGGCAATGCCGCATGGCCCTCGACGAGACCCCGTGAGCTTCAAGGATCGCAGTTGCTCTGAGGACTCCTTGCGTTGGCCACCCCACAAGGACAGAAGTTGAGGTCTGCGAAAAGCCTTGAGGTATAGAAGCTGTGTTTGTGTCCAGGAGCGAAGGCATCGCTCGCGGTCCTCTCGGCGTTAACGCCCAAGCTTCGCTTCCTTCATTTCCGCGCCTGTCGACTCCTGCGCTCCTGCTTCTCGGTTCCTTTCATGTCCCAGCCCTCTCTGAGGCTCTGATGACGAGCAAGCATCTGAGGATGAAGTTGCCAGAAGGAACTAGTAACTAGGCAATGACCTAGTTGTGGTTTTCATTCTGCGACCAATACGGTTGCGGATGTAGTGGCATGAGCGCATCAAAGATCTCATCGCTCGGGCCATGCAGCATGTAAAGACTGTAAAGAGTCAGCTGCAGATATTCGTTTGCTCGGTGCCTTTGCTGCCGAATGAGTCGACCTTGTGCAAGGCATCCCGCTGAGCAGTCCAAGCTTTCACCTCCTGTTCTGGAAGGTTGCCTGCGCTGTGGTGCTGGCAGCTGTCTTCGTTCCCATGCTGGCCGCGTGAGGGACTAAGACCAGCGCAGCCCCACAGAGGATACTCATATCCGTTGAAGCTGAGAAAATTGTCCTTCCCAGGCCTATCTTTGGAGGCGATGAGCTCAGACTCCATGGCTTCAAAACCAAAGCTTTGTGGCTGCAAAGCTCTAGTGCTCAGGGCCGCAGGGCAAAGCCTCCTCGTGGCTTCCACCCCTTCCGTGCTGGCCTCAGGCACCCAAGCAACAAAACAAAGTCCCAAAAAGCAGCACAAAGCCTCAGCTCTGCACAAATCGAGAGGGAACAAAAGCAGAATTCTAGACTCACTGTCGAGGTTTTTCCGGTGGTGGTCCGAACAACACTACGAAGGATCACCCCCAAAGGCATACTTAGTAGCAAGATCAATTGTGATTCATCTTTGGGAAGGTCAAAGTCCATTGCTCGAATACTCAGCATGCCAGCCTAGCAGCAATGAGGGCAACCTGTCGAAGCCAAGAAGGACTTCGCAAAAATCCAACGGCCGGTGGTAAATCGAAGGAACCCCAAAAAAAGCCCTGTGTCGTCTGTGCTGCGTCGGAGAGAAGCAAGCCCTACCCAAACCCCTCCAAGGAGCCCCTAAACCCGTTTGGAATCAATCCGATAATGAAGTTCTGATTCTTCGTTAAGGATCTCCTGCCTTCTTGTCTCTCGCATCGGACGTCCAATGATATCTTGCATACACCCTGTAATGGGCCCTTTAAGCTTCAGAAGGCTTGATATGGCGGAGCCAGAGCTCCGCCCCAGCCTCGTTCTGCGGATTCCGCCGGGGACCTGGGCCGCAAGGGAAGGAGCGGAGAGTGAAGAGCAGACTTTGAAGGATCTACCAAACAAAAAGTATGTAAGCCCATCCTTCAAGCCGGCGGAAAGAGAAGAGATGAGAGAAAGACTTATTTATGTCGTGGCGATGCCTGCCGCTTAGACCGACTTCCTACTCAGGTATCGGGACTGGGTCCTTTGGGAGTGTCCTCCCTTCGCGCCCGTGGCCTCAGCCTTTTTCGCTCTTCTAAGGATGGTGCGCCCTACAGATCCCTGGAGTTAGAATTGAAGCATATAAGTCTTAAGCCTCCCAGCAATAAACCTTCTAAACCCTGACCAAAAGGCCCCTAATTGAACGGAACACGCGCTGGCCAAGGCTCGGTCTGCTGTGCGGCATCCTTATGAGCGTCGCTGGGTGGGGCCCCCTTGATTCAAAGAGCAGGTGTAACTCCAGAGCCAGAGCTTATCTTCAGGGCTCCTCTAAGACTCTATCATGTCTTAATGACCTGTCAAGGACACACAGTATTCAAACATGTGGACACTCTAGACTCAAGTTACATCTATTTACTAATTAGGCCATATATATATATATATATATATATTTTTTGTTTTTGCCCACTGTAACACTTTGATACTGGTCACTGACGTGAGGAAATCAGCTGCAACAGGCCCACGAAGGCTTCGATAACGTGGGGCCAAGAAAGACACCATACTTTGATGGCCCTGTAAAATAGCACTTTCATGCAGAGTTTCATGCAGTGTACTGTGCAGAGGGACGCAGTTTTTGCGGCAAAGGAAGAGCGAGTAGCTTATGGTAGGAGCCCTTGATCCCTTCAGGGCAGCTCTGGCGACGTTCTTTTGCGGCGAGTTTTTCTCGGGCGGTGAAAGACCCGCAGATGGCCCAGTCGGGAGCATTCAGGGTCTCGTCAAACGGTTTCCGTAAATTGAGGATCCTCCTATGGTATTTAGGGGGGGGGGGGGGGGGGNNGGGTTTAGGATTTTGTTGGGTTGAGGAAGGTTGAGGGTTTGCGGGATGAGGGCTTTCGTAGGGTCAAGGGTCCTTGGGGTGTGGGTCTGGATACTGTATTATTGAGGTTAGGATGCAAAGCCCCAGCTGAGGGCCATGCACATCAAAGACTCGCGAGATAGAGCCTTGCAGCGAAGCTCCAAGCAAACAGCTGCCCGGACGTGCTTAGCTTCCCAAATCAGGCAGACGGGTGTGCCGAGCAACCGTCCAGTGATCTATGTGCATCAGCTCGTTCTTCGAGTGGATGCATAGCTCAGGCTGCTCGGCTGTTTGCCAACGTAGCTGCGCCGAGCGCCCCAGTCCTGCACGGCACTGCACGGTTCTTCCATTGCGTCGGATCCAGATCTGTGCAAAAGTACTGGTCCTTCTAGCATGTTGGGGAAGGTCTGTCCTCGCATACACTGCGCGTTCCGTCCTAAGCTCTGATGTGTGCCTGGAGTGGACCGTGGGAACCGCCGTATTCGAGGTGCCATAGATGCCGCAGTGGACTGTGCTGAGGGCAAATCCGCCATCAGTGGCACGAGGCCGGGGGATGGTCGCTTCTGTGCCTCTCGTGGTTGTTATGTGCTTACGTGCGTGGGATGTGGGAGTCAGTGCATGGTGTTCTTGCTGAGCTGCGAGCATGGCCTTGCCAGTGACTTCCTGCGGTCCAAGTTCGTCAGCAGCTTTTGCGGAGCACTGTCGGCTTTCTCGGGCACCATAGGCCTGGCAACAGATCGTCCCCGACTGCGCTTGCCATTGAAATCTTGAAAGAATGCTACAATCAATGAAGCAACAATTACTGCACGTGTTGTAATGGCATTGTGCTGTCAGTTGGCCTCACAGTCGCTGATCTGCTAACTGCTAACACAATCGTTCAAAGACCACCCGAAGTGTCTTCTTGTCGAGCCTCTCGCAGAGTCCTCATAGGCTTGCAAACAGCAAGGCTCAGTTTGCCTCAGTCGGGGCGATTCTCTGCGACCAGCCATGAGTGTGTGGAAAACATCATTCAGTTGTTGCATGGCCGGCAGGGTAGGAGAGAGAACCCTCGCACGCAGCTTTCTGCTGAGTGGTTCAGGGGACATCGCTGACGTACAGTTCGGGTCGGCGGCTGAAGACAGCATCCTCGACTCATCCACCCACGAGGCAAATGACACGGGGCGTGCGGGCAAGTGACACCAAGTAATGGCTTGCAGGTGCCCAGCAAACGCCGATCTCAGCTTCAGGACATCTCGCGAATGCCGGGGGCACTGAAGCATGGAGTTCTGCTTTACTTCGTCCTTGTTTTTTTCATTTTTCACACGGCTCAGCCCTAAACCCTTTTAGCTCGGACACTTATCGCCATGCCTGCTTTTGCGAGTGTGTGAGTCGAAACCCTTTTTTCTTGAAGCCACTTTTCTGTCCCTGCAGAGAGATGTGCAAAAAGTGCAAAAACTCCTTCGGCTGGGATCCGAAATCCGAATCCTCCAACGACCTGGCCGAGGCCCGGGCTCTACAACTTCCTTCTGCACTGGGTCGCTGCCTCGGGCAATCTCGGGACCAACTACGAAATTATAGGCCTTAAAGGCACCAGTCGTACTTTTGAATTTATGACCTTTTGAGTTGCGGCTCTTATGCACGAGCATGCCTGAGATTTCGCACCGCTCGTGTTACTGTCAGTGTTGTTCTTGCCGCTGCTGCTGCGATTAAGCCAATGCGGCTTTGCTGGCCCATGTGGATAATACGTTATGAGTCTGGGGTAGTTGAGGTTGCGATTCTGCAAGTAGCCGAGGTCCTTACGCTGCTGGTCATGTGGGGCTGCGCCCGCTTCGAGACCTGGCCACGAGCCGTGTGGTTCCTGGCAGCCTCTAGTTGGACGCAGCACGCAATCCACGGGTACACTACCCTCCCTCCCTCCCTCCCTCCC